TTCTTTACCTTAGTATCTTTAAATACGCGCGGCGCGAGACCGCGACCACTTTTTTTTTTGTGTGTTCCTTCTTTATATCACATACATGTATATACGTGTAAACACATGTATATACATATACATATATATATATATATATATATATAATCTTACTCTTTCTTACGTATATTCAACATCAAATCTGTATTTTTTTTTTCACCAACAATTATAGGGCTTCCTCTTTTTTTTTTTTTAAATATTCTTTCCACACTAGTTCTCTAAACACAAGCACATAATAATTAGCGACGTTTTTATTATGTTTGTATATATATATATATATGTGTATACTTCCCTCTTGCACGTATTTATCGCGACCTTATTATCGTAACATTTAACGTAATTTCTCAATTGATTGGATGATTGATTAGCGATAAAAAAGTCCGCACATCGAACTAGACAGCGCGACCCTAGTTTTACAGACAAGGAGAGACATCCTTTGTTTCTTTTTTTCTTCTTCGCTTCCTTTATATTCTACATTTGTATAGGTCTGTGTCCTGTGCTTTTTCTTCTTCTTTTTTCTAGTGTACTTATGTATACGTGTATATATATATATATATATATATATATATATATATATATATATATATATATATATATATATATATATATATATATATATATATATATATATATATATATATATATATAGTACTCTACCACTGTCTCCTAAAACTGGCCTACGTTATCTATAATTAAAAATCACGGATTACGTCACCGTAATACATTGCAGAACGCTCGTGGAGACGCGCATTTACTCCCCACCGACGTTCCATGATCGAACGTCAAAATTTTCTCAAATTTTTCATCGACGCTCAAAATTCGATCGCCGCTCAGAGACACTCGGCGCGTCGTCACCGATATCGTAAAAGTCCCATTAAGAAGCGCAAGTTCCGTAGATTTGTATTAAAAGAAAAGAGGGTGGAGTAAATGAATAAAAAAATTTTTTACTATGATAAAAAAAAAAAACGTGAGATTCGAAAAGCGAGATTTCGATTCGCTGATACCGCAACGGAGGCGAATGGATAAATAAAAAAAAAAAATAAAAAATAAAAAAAAAATCGACCAAGACGATTATAATCCGCGTGTCGTTAAGGATTAATTAAATTAAAAATTAATTTGTTTCCACGGGCAAAAACCTTACCGGGGAGTGAATAACGTGAGACGATTCGATCTTGCAGCGTTTCGCACGTTTAAAGCCATTGCGAGTTCTTTTTACCATTCGATTTCTTGGAACGGCGCGTCTCGACGCCATCGACGCCCATGATTCGCCTCCCCCCCCCCTCCGCCCCGTCAACAGTCGCGCGGTAACCCTCCTCATTACGTCGGGACCTCGACAGAAGCTCCAGGGCGAGAGTCATCGACGAGTCGCCGGAAATGATCGAGGGATGTGCCTGTTTCCGGGAGGAGGGAGGTTAGGGCGATAAAAATCGCAAATGACGTCGGCTGGATATCGCGTACAAAGAAGGAAAACAATAACACGAACAGAGCGAAGGTATCGAAGGCGTATAACGTTAAGTATCGAGGAATCGTGAAGCGATTAAAGTTTATTCGAATGGAGTATATATATATATATATATATATATACATACACGTATATCGTTCAGCTTCGCGATTCCTCGCCGAATACTGCACTTCGAGATGATTCTAAACGACAAGCTAAAGAGTTTCCTACCTAAGTGTTTTTCATCTATCCCGTTAAATATTCTCTCCTCTTTTTATTTTGTTGTTCTGTGTGTCTCAACGCTACTAGCGCGCTGCACGTCACGCTCGCACGCGAATATCCCCTGGGATCATTGGCGTCGCTCGCCGTCGTGTCCCATAGAAAAATTTCAACGCGCTCAGCACGCTTCGCTAAACGTAGGCCGGACTAACCAATGTTATCATTTTCTCTCTCCCCTCTCCCCCTCATTGTCGGTCGTTATAGTTTTTCATCATAGCCGGTAGTTACGACAGAGGCGTACCTGAGAGACATACCGTCCTCCCACGCTATATCTCGAATCTGGACATAGACCTACGCGAGAAGGCGAAATGACCGTATAATTTGTTTTTGACTAGATAAATGGCACACCGAATATCCACACCCACGATGCTCTCCTATCCTTACGATATTAACGTGCGCACGTCGTAGTGACAATTTAAGCAGCGAGAATAGCCGTGTGAAATCCTGAGAGTTTAGGGCGGTATTTTCATTCGTGACAATTTCTTGACACTCGCGAACTTCCCAGTGTCGCTGTCGCCGTCCGTCCCCGCTGGACGTGACGACGCCATAACGCTTTTGGCCACGGAAGTTCCGGAATGTCTCGAACAATTTGAATTTTACTTTCTCTCTCGTATACTCGCGGTATCTCTCTCTCTCTCGCGCGCACACACACACACACACACACTTTTTCTCTCTGTCATTTCATACAGGAGATTCATTAACGCCACGTGGAGAAAAAAGATCACGAACCAGTGACATGCCGTACCCTGTTCCTCCACGTGTCACAATGCTCAGATACACGAAATTCGAGCTCGTTTAAAGATAGGACATTTTGCCGTGAAATTTCGGCCCTGCCGAAAGATCCCGATAAGAAGGAATATCGATCGTACAAAGATTCCTTGTGATCCGATAATTCCATTCACGTGAGATTACGTAAGTTTCAGTTCGATCGTGTTTCTTTTCTGTTCTCTTCGATTTTCTCGAACGATTATCCATTTAATTTTTCCTCGTTCTCTCTCGAGCGACGTGTATAAAACGTATGCTCCGAGTCCTGCACAGGCTCGAAGCACAGGACGCGTCCTCCCGTTACAATGCTTTCATCTGTTTACCTTCCTTGTTAACCCTCGTTACACTCTCTCGAAGAAATATGTCACATATGATCTCGCCAATCGACGCGGACGACGCTACACAGCAATGAACCTTTTCGCTACGACTTAATTGTAACCTAACGTAATTAATAGTAAACACGACAACGATTACGACACCGAGGTTACACGGCCTTCAACATATTTCGTCCATTCCGTTCGCGCCTGCAACTTTCTTCATTGGCAACTTCTCATACGTCACACCCCCGTCGCACCTCTCTCGGAGAGCTCCGCCATTTTGTGACAATTTGGGGCTTTATTTGTCGCAAAATGGCTGCTCGTCGAAGAGAGTTCAAACGACCCGCGTATAATCGCCTTTTACAGAATGACAAACCCATTTCTCGCAAACGCTTTCTCCTCTGTCGATCCACTTTCGTTTAAGCATACATCTTATTGTTATTATTATCGTTATTATCGTTAATACGGTAAAGCGAATGTTAACGTTGGTAAAACGAACGATTAACTCGAGACAGGTTCCTCGTCGGTCGTAGAACCAATGTTTAGATAGGCGACCGACCTTCTCCCGATTCGAGATCCAGACAGAGGGACTCTTACATTAGTTCTCTTGTATCAAATCACGAGAATGAACTTTGCGTCTGGTTATCTCGAGACGGGAGTAATTAAAAAAAGAAAAATAATATATCGTAATACCATACACGCGACTAAAGGCTAGACTATGTTAACTTAGACACGATAATTAAGTACATGTATTAACGCGCGACATCATATACATACGTATGTTTTATAATGTTTACATGATTTTTCATAAATACGTTTTCGAGTTTTGTTCGCGTTACGCTAACCGAGAGGAAGTCTGTATCCCGGAGTGCGGTTCCTGTGGATGTTCCGTAGCGCACGACTTTTCCTCAATGCAATCTAGAGTGATATATATTTTTATATTCTAGCGTACTACACTGAAGGAATAGTTAAGTCACTCCTTTGTCTGCTTCAGACATATTCGAGACGCGTCCCCGACGCTCGGCTCGTATGACGTATTGACAAAATTCTTTTTTCTCGGAACTCGTAGCGATTAACAATTAATTTAATTCACGCATCGAAGCCTTAACGATATATACCTAACTAGAGACAACATGTACGAATATCCTGGAAGGTGCATCAATTACTAATCGATTTTTTTTTAGCGTTTTACGTCACTTATTAGAGTTACCCTCCTACCGTTTCTCGGCACGGTTTTACACCTCGCGAAAATGTCTTGTACAGTTTTTCTGTTAATAATTATAATATATACATATATATATATATATACATATACATATATATGTATATATATATATATATGTATATAGCTACGTTAGGCGTATGCTAAAATAAGTTAAATATACTCTGAGCAGGCCACCAGCGGCCCGCGATATTACCTACCCGCATAATCTCTTTCTCTCTTAATTTAAAAAAGATCACCCGTTCCGCGGCAAGGAGTCGAGAGAAAAACGTAAATACTCCTCAAAATTGCATTTAAATTTTTCATGTCGCGGACATCGGGCCACAGCGCCGGAGCCTGAGGACCTGGATTAAAAGCGCCAACGAAGCACTCCGCAAGCTCTTTTTATATATATTTATATAATATATATATATATATATATATATATATATATATATATATATATATATATATATATATATATATATATATATATATATATATATATATATATATATATATATATATATATATATATATATATATATATATATATATATATATATATATATATATCTTTTTTTACCTTTAATGCTCTTCCTCGTACGTCCTAGGGTATGTTTCGAGATTTACGGACACTGCTGCCAAAGTAGTTGCGTCTCTCTCAGATCCGCATGGATTACTAGAGACATGACGCTGGAGGCAGTACTGACAATAAATTTTGAAATATACCCTAAGTAAAAGATACTGAATCGTGGTAGGTTTATACCTCCTTCGGAAGCGGAAAATTCAGACCGTTCGAAAGCACCAGGCTCTGCCAGCGAACGGAAGCTTCGTCAATTAGTTTAATTTTCCCCCTCCCCTGCGATATAGCTTTTTATAATTTATCTTTGTCTTTCCACACCAAACTTCCCTATACTTGTCCTAGCCTTTCTACTGTCATCTCACTATTTATTTCTGCTTCATCCTCTTGCTTGCTTGCATTGTCTTTTGCGTTTCTTTTTACTTTTTTTTTTTTACCTCTACTTCATCAGCAACACAGATGGAACATCGAAGAGGATCCACGTAGGTTCGTGGATTGCAATTGATAATTCCAGAAATTCGCTGAGAAGCGAACCTCGAGATTAGCAAGTGCACGAATCTCGTTTTAGCACAGAGAGATAATGAAAGTCTGCTTTACGCTCTTGAGAAATATTATTTTGCAACCAAAAAAAAAAAAAAGGCCCAGTCAATTTCTTCACACTTTTGTCCGTGTTCGATGATGAACCTGACAGGAGTGGCTAAACGGCATAATCGAGAGATCGATTAAAAATTGATCCGTTTTTCGCAGACAGAAATATTTGGGCCGGACCTTTGGGCCTAGACTTTCCTTAAATGGACGAGATTCGAGCGATCTGTTCCAGTCTTCTCGGTCCTTGTGAAAAAATAATTCTTTTTTTTTTTTCTTAACCATTTCTTCCTTCGTCTTTCAAGTAAGATCGCAATTTTTCCTTTGGCGCTACTTCACGACGTTCCTTATGGACGTTGATCGACTCGTGTCGCATTGCTTCTTGATGAGCATTGGAGCGATGTCCTGTGCCGAATCTTACTTCGACGTACGAGCAATAAATAAATATGAAACAGAGAAAAGTATCCTGGTAACCAGGAACTATTTTGCTTACGAGTCTACTGAACGCGTTAAACTCGCTGTTCCTTTCCTTTGTTTGTTCTTATGCGTTAATGCGCATTTTTTAAGTCTTCCCGTAGATGCCGCTTAAAAAGTAAGCAACGTACCCTTTCGAATAATCTCGAAGATGTGAGTTTCGCGTGGTGTGCAATGACTAGAGAGGATTCGTTCAGCGACGATGAGATTATCTTCTGGAAGACCGGATATCTGAGACCAGTCTTGTCCTGAAGAGGAAGTACCGCTATGTGAACGTGTCCTCGTTAATTACTATACCTTTTCTCCGTAACTCCTTACTGCGGTGCGAGTCTGCTCGGATTGAAGTCCTTATTGACGAAGGAGAATCCTTTGAACTCGTCCTGATTTATGCAGCGAACCGAGTCGGGATTGACGGGCGTAAGGACAGGCTCCTCCTTTGTAAATTCCGCGTCGAAGTTCATCGCGTCTCGCTGATTTCTCTGAATACAGCAAATTGTCACAGCGCGTGAGCAGATTGTAAATTTCATCAAAGTTATAATCATTTTATAAGATTTTTTGTACTCACGATTCTGGGCCTAAAGGGTGGTTGCAATTCTCGTGCCTCCAGTGCCTCCCAATTCATACACTGGAAAAAGGGATGAACCCTAATCGCATTCTCACCGCCATTCTCGATAACGCATCCGAGTCTCTTAGCAGGATTCTTAGTCATGAATCCTTTAAGAATGGACACAGCCTCTTTGGACAGCCAGACAGGATACAGGACGTCGTCGCGTAGGATGGAATCAAAGAGGTCGTCCTCGTTATCTGCTTCGAATGGCGGCTGTCCGGCCATCATTTCATACATTAAAACGCCGAGGGCCCACCAGTCCACACTAGCACCATACTGAAGTTCCTGAAGAATCTCCGGGGCGATGTAATCGGGAGTGCCGCAGAAGGTGGTCGTAGTCGCGCCATCGATTATACCCTCCTTGCACATTCCGAAATCCGCTAACTTGCAGTGTCCTTCTTGATCGAGCAAGATATTATCAAGTTTGAGGTCACGATAAATGACACCGTGTTTATGAAGGAACTGCAGCGCCAAGGTGACTTCCGCCGCGTAAAATCGTGCCCTGGCCTCGTCGAATTTTCGTGCTCTTTGAATTTGGAACATAAGGTCACCTGATAAAAAAGATACAAAATAATAAAATATGCACTAACATACAAATCATCGTATTCAGGTAGATCATCGCCACGACACTCACCTCCATTGACGTATTCCATAACGAAAAAAAGATGTTCCCTGGTCTGGAAGCAGCTATGAATAGCTGTAAGAAAGGGATGCTTTGCGGCCAGGGCGAGAATGCGTTTCTCTGTCATTGTGCAGTCGACATCATCCTCGAGAATGATCGCGTCCTTTTTGAGAACCTTCACGGCGTATACCTCATCCGGATTACCCTTTCGTTCGGCAAGCATCACCTTGCCGAAGCTACCTTTGCCCAGGACCTTGATGAAGTTGAAGTCTTCGAGACCTACTTTCTTTGTTTCGCCTTCGCTGACGGTGACAGCTCCATCGCCACCTGCTGGACGAGCTTCCTCGGTTCTCTGAGATGGCAAGCTGTCCTGAGCTGGTGCGTCGTTACTCGGAGGCACAGCAGGCGGTGTACACGGTGTCGTGTAGCTGAACCTCGGCGGCTTGGTCGGTTTATCAGGCGATATACCCATTTCGCTGAGAATTTCGGCCATCGCCTTGGTATTGATACCACAATTGTTTGCTACATTCTTCTGGCACCTCTTGTGCACATTCATGTTGCACACTGGAAAGAGTAAATAAACAATTGAGTCAAGGACTGTGCTCCATTTTTGCACCCAAAGCATTAACTCGTTGCTCCCTCTTAGGATCTCCTACCTTCACATTGGAGGCCTTGTTTGATCAAGCCGTAGAGAAGGGAACCGCAATGATCGCAAAAGGTGAAGCGCTTGTAATTGTGGACAACGAAGCGATGCGGGATGTTGACGTTGAACCGTTGACCTTGGGTACCTTGACTTGACTGTAACACAGTTCCCTGTCCCTGAACGGGCGAATGGCCCAGGGTGAAACGAACAAAAATTAAAATGAAAAGTAACCAAAGTATATAATCACCAAGCTACACGTAACGGACTACAGCGTTTAAATAAACGTAAGACAATGACGAAAAAGAAAAAAAAAATCAATAACTGTAAATATTTCAGAGCTTTGAACGATGATTTAAAAAATTATAAAATGAAAAAGAAAATTCATCTACGAACATACCTCGTCCTTCATTCCTGGGCATTTGGTAACAACATACTTGTGACACCTTTTGTGAACGACGCAGGTACAAACTGAAATAACAACGACAGCTTCTTGAGGTTCAGAGCCTTAACAGTATCCAAAGTTATTTATCGAACATCGCACAACACAAGCACGTCGCATGCACATGTTAGACGCGTATTTTCATTCGGTATCTTTTTGAGATTAGAGAGAAATCATACGCAAAAAGAATAGCAGAAGAGGAGCACTGCCATAAGCAATAAAAAGAATAAAACATAGAAGACGAGAGATCACGAATCAAAGTTCCACTAAAGCATCCCTCTCCTCATTTTCTCATGTATCCCACAAGTCGACGTAGAAAGCATTGCGTTCAGGATTACGAAGATAAACCGTGAGAGACTTCACTAACGTGAACATTTCCATTTACTGTATATTATCCATTGGGTTCTAGATCTTTAAAAGCACAGGATGCCTTCGAGATCAGCATGCAGTCAGGATCTCGTTCGCGGTCGAGACACAAGGCGTCCAAGGATGCAGAAGAATTTCGAAATAACAATTAGTAAAGATCTCGAGGGAATTGAATCCTCACTCGTTTACCTCGCGAAGCCTAATGTGTAGCTTTTTTTGAGTAATAAGGATTTCAGCATGTTAGGTGCAAAAGCAGGAACGATGGAAGATAGAGACAAGAGAGATCATAGAAAGTATCGAGAAATATCTTACAGTCTCCTTTTACTATGTTTATAGGATTTAGGAGTGGCACTGAATTTGCCTGATATGCATAGGTACAACATATATGGCACATACAGGCAGCAGATTTACGTACGCACGCACACAAGGGTACAGACATGGGTCCAGCAAGCGAGTACATAATATAATCGGTTAATAACGTGACTTGTGTCTTTCTCACCTTGACACTGATAGCCCTGCTTGCCCAAGCCCCTGAAATACAACAGACAAAACACGTCACATCTTCTCCTCGAAATCCCTTGTAAAACACATACGTATGCCTTCTCCGTCGTTAAACCATAGTTAGTTCTATGGTGAGATCTTAAATGAGGATCAGTCTGGGACAGTCAGTAATCCATGAATGATAATAATTCTGACGGATAGGATAGGAGATATAGACTCTATTTTGAAGATACTAAAATGTTATTAGTTATCATCGTTATAGTAATCACTGTCCTTTCACTATAAATATGTAATTCATCTCCTTCCTGACTGGTGAAGTCGATTATTTCATCTTATTACTGATCCTCCGATCACTCCTCTGCGCATCTTCATTCATGTTCAGGTATTTGTACGCTGGTGTCTCGTGTCAATTTGTGATACCCAAAAAGCATGCAATCCCGCATTTGTATTACAGACCACCGATTCCACCGACTACCACGCAATTCTTAACCCGATCGCAATTTAATCACAAACGAAGAACGAAATAGGCAATGCATGCAATACCCCGTGTTTCCCACTTTTATCCGAAAGAGAGAAAATAACAACCCATTGCTTAGATTCGGTATATTGTCTTAATGCTTACAATGCGCATGTACTTTATGTGTTGCATTGAAAGATGTAAAGATAAAGGCAATTGCGTAAGCGAGATACGACAAGGTGTACCGAATCTAACATGCACGTTACATGTCTACGTGATTTCTTGTCGCTGGGCGACATTTTAAAAACGTGACGCCTTGAAAAAAAAAGCGACTCCAGGTCATCCCCAGGGAATTGTGCTCCTTGTTACGGGTACAGGATTGGCATATCCCTTGAAAGATTCCTATACCAACCGTACTTGTACGTACCATATGAATTCGCGGCAGTGAGAACAGAAAGTGGGTTGCCTCAGAAAGGTGGCCATGAATTTGTGACCGTTCACCTGGTGCACCCTTCGGCGCATAGCACCTCTTCGCCGACTAAAACCCTGCCCTTTTTCTTTAAATTCACGACCGGGTTCTTTGCCGCCAGTACCAGTTCCGGCACCGACGCCCCCAGCACTTCCACCGATGCCTTCCCCATCGCCACCTCCGCCGCCGCAATCTGACTGTTGATCTAAAAAATAAATGATTGAAAAATATTTTTGCTCATCCGGAATACTAGTTATTTTCTAAATTTTATTTATACGATCGAGAACATCTTGTAACACTGTTATTATATTGTCTTGTTTATAGAATGTTATGAGTTACCTTGATTGTTCCATATCAAATCTATCCTTATTCGCAGTCTTCCCTGAGGCTCCAATTCCACCTAGAACATAAGAGTTTATAGCATTAATGTCCTGGATGTTACTCATATAAAGCTGACGCAGAAGATTTGTCATTCAAGAATCTCAAGGTGGACGATGATGATGATCAATGGAGAATAAAATACTATGGAATGCTAGCTCATAAAAAAACATGTTCTTGTGAAGTTTCGTTTTCTTGTATTTCATAATGTTAGAAGGAAACCCTTTAAACATGGAACTTGTAACCGTCAGAGTATTTTAACCGTGATGTAATCAGTTATCAGCAACATTACAACCATATTAATTTATATCCAGCCGGCGGTAAACAAACCTCGTGTGGATTTAAGAAGAGTAAACATACTCTACATAAGAAAAGAAAAAATTCTTTTTTCTGTTCTGTGTTACTAGAGAACTTAAAGATTTTCATTTTATAGAAATTGGAAGGTGTGAAAACAATTATCATACCGATTGTTTGGGATAGAGCAATGCTGCTCTGGCTATTGATTCTTTACGAATGCGTAACAGTCTCTGAAAGCACTTTTCAATTCCATAATTTCGATGCGCGTGAAACATTGTAACTTTACATAGGAACACAACACTTAAACAAAGAAAGATTATGAGATGTATAAGAGAAAATTGATTTCTCTGATTTTTTTATAGAGCCACATTTAGATAGGTAGACTGCTGAGTGTATTATACTCTGATATGCGTCATCAGCAAGATCTGAATGCATACTGGAGGACAGAGACGTTTTGGATATCACGCAAACATTTTGAAATCTAGGAGGTTATTGACGCAACCTTATCAGACCATGTTCGTATGGCAAAGTCATCGCTTAAAATGATTCAGACCATGTGAATGTTGTGAAACACATCATTTATGTAGTATGTTAAACGAGTCAGTGCTATCTGTGACACATGATATGTTCCATTAGATTCGATATTAAAACTCCCATGGGAGATTTAACGTAATCATTATCAAAACTGATTTGATATTTTACAATTATAAATTAGTAGGAATAAATAGAGCCAGACAATAACATGGGACATACCCAGAAGTCTGCAGTTTCATCATCACGGTGCATCAGCTCTTCAAAAGGGATGCTACAGTTGGCGACAAAGTCATCAGGTGGTAAAGCTGCTTTATGGAAGATGGTGAGTCCAAGCATAACGGCATCCTGTACTTCGTGAGTAAAGCATTCATTCCAGACAGGATCGAAGGTCTTAGGTTTAATGGATGATTTAATAAGATGTGACTCATCAACGTCCAAAAGGACATAAGGATCAAGAATAGGTGGTTCCTCCTGCCAGAACCGTTGCTTGCGCTGCTTGTCAGTTGCTGTAAGCCCCAAGGCCTGAAATATCTTGACCTTTATCGTACCGGTGAACATCTCGGACCTATCAGAGATAACAGGAGCAGAGATGAGAGAACTGTCAAAGAAGTGTCAACAGTATACCAATAGAAGGAAGCTATGCTCTATACTGAAGATCTACTTAGCAGACCCAAGAAGACAAGTAGGTAGATAACACAAGATGGAAAGAAAAACCAATAAAAGTACAAAAAAGAATCAAAGACTCAAAGGACCCAATACACGAACCCTGAATCCCTCCGTGCTCAAGACGGAAAGCGTATCTCGATGAATCCCCAAGAAGGAAGAAATATCCGTACGGAGATGTTGGAGCTTATAAGAAGGGATAAGGTCGACAACACTTGACGTCTATCACAGGATCTGTATTCTTCGTTAAAATAATCCGCGTCGTCGTCGTCGCCGGCGGTGGAGGCGAAGACGAAGACGAAGGCGGAGTCGGATGTTCAGTCTTCGCAGATTTGGTGTCTATCCGGCGTCGCGGATGGTTTGAATGACCCGGATGGTATTCTGGTTCGGTCGTAGAGCGGCTCCAAGTTCCTTTCCAGTCGCCTTGTCACCGCCACCACCATGACCGAGTAGTTATAAACACTTCGACTGCTTCCCGTTCGCACATAACAGAAACGGAAATGGAAGCAGAGACTGGCTATTCTTGGGGAAGGCCAATTCGAGAAAATCAGGAAAACGGGTGAAATCGCGAAATACAGCAGGAGGCAGATCAGTCGAAGGTGATGTTCCGAGGCTCACAAGATATAACGGTCGCGACTTGCAGGCCCCTCGCGGTGCCCTGACAGCCATTAAGCTCGGCTTCCCGTGTGATGTCTCACTGAGCGTTCGATCCGATTACCGATTCCCTTTCTTGATATATTCGCGCGCGAGATACACATCCGATCTTGAGCTCCTCTAATCCTTAACCGCTCGATCGGTTACGTTTACGGTTACTCCTTCGTTATATGCGGATCCCTCCTCCTATACGTCGCTCCCTATGTCACCCCTTCCTCACTCTCTCATTCACTCACTCGCTTTCGCTCTCTCTCTCTCTCACACACACTCTTACTTCCTCACTCACTTTCTTCCTTCCTCTCTTCCTTTTCTCAATCTATCTCATTCTATCTCTCTACTTCGAATTCGGAACCGATTCGGCTCCCTTCGACTATCTTCGCAAAATGTTCGGATACCTCGCACAGCCAGCCAGATACGACTGGATACGATACAAGACCAACTGATGAAGACGACCCCTGTTCAAGTTAGTCCTATTTACTAGGATTTCGACAACACGAATTTTATGTGAAACAACATAAAATTTACTCTGTTTCCTATTTTAAGTTTCAATACTTTGATCATTAGTTCTTTCTTCGTACTGAAATTACTACCCTCGTTATTCTGTCTGCTATTTCGTCGTGTCTAATCCAGATCTAATTGTTCTGTGAAGACGGTCAACTTTAATAGACACGACGATCTTACACAATTATTACTTGATCTAGACGAACTGATCAATCCCAAATATTCGTTAGAAATGGAAGTGTCTGTGATTTGTCAATTCCATTAGCTCTGTATTAATTCGGAATAAGATCACTGTGTAAATGGATTCACAGCATCTCTGGTTACAGAGTAACGATGGTATTCGTTGGTCTGTGAGAACGGCGACACGCCTCTTCTTTCACAGCCAACCAACCATTTTCTTCTATGTGAGGTTTCTCATGAAGCAACTTCGTTATTGTCAGAGATGAAACCTTTAAAACAATTCACATGAAGCGACGTATGATGCCAGAAGCCCGATTATGAAGTTTATTCTTTGTACACACAAATGCGCATGCGAATAAATATAGCCAATCATATACTGGAGTTAAGAGAAGACAAGTGCAACAATTGGCTAACACCCATTCGTTTGACGTGTTTTCAGAAATATAAAGATTCGAAATCGTAATGAAGTTACTTCTCTAGCCGAATTTTGTCATGGAGATAAGAATGTTTTAATAATTATTGGATGAGTACATTTTTCATATGAAAACTTAAGTGAGTATTTATACGGATTTCGCCCAACACTGTTCGGATTCGGTGTACAAACTTTGTAGGTCCCCTCACGCTGAGTTGAATAAGGCCCGTCTCGCAAGGTACATCGCCATCTATTGTCGAATTTTGAACCTTGATTATTAGGACCACTTACTGGCACATGTCCCCCATTAGGGATACAGCAATAAGGAAAGGAAGGAAGGGATGAGTACGTTTACTCACGTTCGTTTGCTGTACGTTAGAGCGGCAATTCTTATGTTGGGATTTTCAGTGAGATTTAAGTAATGTGATATTACAAGACAATTTGTATGAGAACTGTAATAAATAAATAAATAAATATTTGAATTTAATTTTGATCTGTCAAGTTCCGTGGAAGTATTCTTATGCGTATTATCATATTGTGATGTGTACTTATTGGTAATTATGTCATACCGGTGATTTGAAATATTGAGGTTAAGAAATATTAAAATTTTAACGTGACATACGAATGACAACATGGAAAATCAAGCACAAACACCTCTTAAAATCAATAATCCAGCTCCCACAGTTGAGCAAATCAATGCCGACCGTATTACTCAGGTAAATTTGAATATTTGATAGTCCAAAATGCGTAAGTTAAAAAGTTTGTTTTAGTAACGTATCTCTAATAAAATTGGGTTTACAGTTGGCAAATAAATATTGGGCTCCTCACACTACGGAAACGCATCATCCCTTTAATCGGCAAATCGTTGAAGATATTTACATCCAAGAAATATGTGCTTCCAAGTTCTCTATCCGACGTATTATGATGTTGGAATTCAGTCAGTACCTGGAAAATTATCTTTGGCCAAATTATGAAACAGAGACTGCAACTCGTGCCCATACAATGTCTATAGTTGTCATGGTCAATGAAAAGTTTCGTGAACGCGTACAAGTTTGGGAAGCGTTTGAGAAAAATCCAACTCACTTCCCTGGATTTTTTCAACGCGTGTTGGAAGCTTCTCTAGAAGAGAGCATCTTGGATTTTGACTTGAAGGAACAGACAGCATTGATTGTCTTCTTGAATCACTGTTTCAATTCGATGGAAGTAGCCCTTGTTAGAGAGGAAGTTAAAAGACTAGTCTCTTTGTCTATGTGGGTCTCTCTGCAGCAAGGACGTAGAGAACTTGAGTTCAGAAAGTATCCTAAATGGAGAAAGTATTGGAAGGTTATAAGAAAAAAAGATAATCCTGAGCACAAGGAAAAATTAGAATGGGAACGAAGATTTCTTCAGCGGCTCATGGTCAAGTTTATGACTATTCTGGAAACGATACCTGCTGAAGGTATGCATAGTATAAATGAATAACTGAGTAAACTAAAAAATAAATTAAAATATTTTGTATGCACAGGTAATATATTCCCAGACAAAGTGCGTTACTGCGAAAGGTTCCTGGAACTGGTCATCGATCTAGAGGCTCTGCTACCAACCCGACGATTCTTCAATACTGTAATGGATGATTGCCACTTGGTTGTACGTTGTCAACTATCCAATTTGCTTCATAGGCCAGAAGGAGGACTGTTTGGTCAAGTAAGTGAAATTTATTAGTATAGTATAATATAAAAATGAAAAAAAAATCTTTATTAAAATGAGTCGGAACGTTGTCGAAGAATTATTGTGTCCCGAACAAGTATATAAATATTAAAATCTACGTCAATAAGAACGTGTATTAAAAATTCCTTTCGTAGTAGGCGCGAATACAATATTTGACCATTTTAATAGCGCATGACGTAATGCTCAAAAAATAAATACATTAGAGTGCCCACAATAGAATTTTTCGCCATTACGTTATATACCCTGTAAATACATATGCATCGTGCACAAGTATCATTAGAAAAAATAGAACGATAAATATTTCCAAGGCACAAATACCGGCACAATACTGCCAATGCGCAATCAGGAATGTCTTGTCGAGAGTATATGCGAAGTAGCGACAAGTACTTGGTAATGTAAATTAACAATAAGTTGCCATATTGAAATCCTTATAGGCAGTAATATTTAAATCGGCAGTACGTTACTGTCAAATAAATATTTTGTGCGATCAGTGAGATTGCTCAATCTTGAAGATTCTCAATGATTAAATCAATTGGGAGAATTGATCCTTATGTTCGACAACAATGTGTCGTTTTAAAGTAAGTACATTAAATACTGTATCAAATCAAATCAGTAACCAGCATTCATGGCTGTCATTTCTTCGCCCCAGTCGAGACCCTCCGGACTCTCACCAGGGTTGCAGCAGTCGCACGTTTTTCCCAGGAGAAAGGTTACTCTCCTTTGTCCGAATACGCAAACGTAAAGAATGAGTAACGCTTCAAGTACATTCACAACCACATAGCAGTAAACGAGACCATCATACTTCAATCTTGAGAGCAACAAGAAGAGCCATCCAGTGCTCATAATAGCAAATAGAAATACGAACATCTTGAAACTGTATTTCATCTTATGATGAATTCTGCCATAAACGCTCATTCTTTTCATAGTGTTTGCGGTTGTTAAAGCGAAACATAGATCGACTATTATTGTAAAGGCAATGGATGTAAACAATACAGCTGTACCAAGCCATCCGATGGTCTCTTGAGATATGAATGATGATTCGGTCACTGTGGGTATATCCGTTTCCAGTGTAAAATGTGCAAATATTGCAGTCACCGCTATGGCAAATGTTGAACCCCACACATAACTCGAATAGTAACAGTACTTTTGACCGTCCGTAACGCGAAGGAATACATTTCGTGACCGGAAAGTGTTCCAGACATAATATCCTAGTGCATTGAGCCAGAAGAAAGCTGCAAGTAGAGAGACGTACGTCACTATATCTGAAAAAAAAGCCAAACTCTCAAATATAAGTCAGTTATGTTTTAAAAGGATCTAAATATTTTGTATTTACCTGCAATTAAGAAGCTAACATGATTACCATACTCTGTGAATATTCTAACCATGGAGGCACACTGGCTCGTTATAAGGCACAGAGTCATGCTTGTTATCATATTTCCAACAAGATCGCGTAGCTGAGGTAATACAAAGTACACGATAGCAACAAGGAGGTAGCTGACTATGGCAACGGCATGAAATGTTGGATTAACTGCATGTGTTATAAGATAAGCTGTGTCTGTCCATCGAACAACCTTAGGTACACATACCATTGCATAGGTTGCAACTAAATGATCTGTACTAAGGATAACTTTGTCTGCACAGTAATCTCCAAAAGCATAATCATAGTGCATATCTTCAGAATCCTGAGAGTCACCCTCATTGCTGTCATAGCTGTTTCCGTTATCATCAATTCTCCTATCACTCAAGTCAATGATATAATGTCTTAGTTTCCCAGAAGGTAGTATAGCTAATTTATCATGTTTCGCAGTATGATACACATGCCACAAATGTTCATTATTTCCACACCTTGGCAACCCAATTTTCAATTGAAACTTTGGACTCCAATTCGTCTTCTTGTCAGTCTTAAATTCTGGCCTCCAAGGTACAGTCTCATTGGTCTCATTGATCGGAGTACATGTATTATTCACCAGGACTTCGTTAACTTCACAGCATTTTCCAATTTTGACAGAATCCTCAAGAACGTCGGTACTGGCATTGGCGATACCAATATTACAACAGGATATTCCAATCCCGATAGAGACTAACAATAATCTCCAGAGAAACATGGTCCTCGTTACATTTGAGTATCTCGCGTGACGATCAAATTACGTGTACCATCCGTGATTCACAGCATCTTCACGAGTTATCCTGACACGTCCAACCTGCTCGGCGCCTTATTCGTCCATCGCTCATTTACAGAAGCATCTTCCTTTAACTTCTATCTTCTATCTACGTCTATCTATCACTACAAACTCTTTCCTCCACTTACAAAGTTGTCTTACTAAATTGGAATCGTATCCCCTCTCGTCTCCAATTGCCGGTTGCCAATTGGAATGTAATACAACGGTAATACTAATGCACACCGCAAACGCGTCCTGTGCCTGACGCCATTTACCTCTCTCAATACCAAATATCATTAGCCGGTTCTGAACTTGAACACTAACTATGGCTCCATCTGCCGTGGATTCCCGTAAATAAAAATCAGGTGAGTAAACGATCCTCCTGAGCATTGACATGGCACATCTCGTTAAAGTAGGCAGCAAATGAGGAACGGAAAAAGCAGGAAAAAACATTGACTACATTTCCATTGTGCAGGATTAAGAAGGATTAACCAGTAATGTTCAACATTTGAGACGAATATTCGCGTGTATTTAATTCTCGTTTGATTTGAAATTGCTGTCCATTATTTGATTCTCTACTGGTTAAACAATTGATTCAGGATTTTCCAGAAGTTTTACGATAAACGCGTTAAAGATTTTTTTGTGGAATACTCAAGATAATATATCTCTGGATTGTATTCCTAGGACGTATCACCGCTTCTTTTTATTTTCTGACTGTTACCAATCCGATGTCAAATGTTATTGATTGTTGTAGGTTGCGAAGTACGTTCACCGTTGACGGTAAACTCCATTTGGGTGGTGTATGAGATTAATATCAAGAACTCCAAGAAATTATGTTTTCACATGATCCCCAAGTGCGTATTATTAGTACCACCTGAGCGAGCCTGTATGAAAATATACAGTTGTTATACTGTATTGAATACATAAATAGCCTTCGAGTGGGGAAAGCCCCTGTGTCTAACGAAATCAAATTTGAGCGATGTCGACTTACTGTAATGGGGGCAAGTATATGTCAATAATATTTGAGTGTGTATATCTGTAGTATGCTCGAACGCAATGGATACATCACGAAATACGTAAAAGAATTTTTTTATTAAAAAACCCGTCTTGTCCTGTGGTTTTGTATCGATACGACCTTGACAAAACACGAATTCCAGAAAGAACATTCTCTCGAGTTCGATTGCAAAATAAAATCGCCCAAAGAAAGTCTCGGGTCTCCTTCGAGCAACTCTTGCCCCGTTGTTTACGTTTCACATGTGTAGACTATTGCAGACCGTACTACAAGAGTCACGTTATTCATTCTACATAAACGTTTAATGCAAGCGCAGCTTGTTGCCTAATATACAGTTTATTTTATTTGAATACAGAAAGATTAGACTTTCGTTTATATGTTTAATTTCGCCACTTCGTTACTTGGATAGCTTTGCAAAACGCGTTAATATTTCATATCTTAATGCTTGATAAGATTATGTGTTTCAGAGGGAGAGATTCTTACAATCATTAGCTTTTACTGTATATCCATATTTTACTGAATCTTTGGCCATTGCTCCGTGCAATGGCAGTGGAAAATTCATATGATATGCCTCATCTGTAATCTGTCTTTCTGTGTGGATCAGATTTCTCTCTTCTTTTCTCTTCTATTTTCATTTTCCTTCTTGACCAAGGTCTTGAATGACACATGAAAAAAAAAAATGTGTCGGCTTTCAGTTTTGCAACTTGTCAATTTTGCTCTATTAACTGATCTATACTCTATTTAGTCTCTGAAAGAATGCCTTTTTCACTTACTAAAACGACACTGCAGAATACCAGCGAGGATTCTTCATTGACATGCATGAACTGCTCAGTCAAGATTCACTATAATCTAGATTCGTCGTGAGAAACTAAATTAATAAAAAATTGTAGCTACATTTGTAAAAAAAAAAAAGTATTAAAATTCTTAACTCTGTGCTTAGTTTCTCCGCTGGAATCCAGAATATGAAAGAATCCTGATGACGCGTTACTCGACAAATGAAGGAGAGCAAAGGTCAGAGATAAATGACGTTTGCGATGAAGTGGAGGGTAACGATAAGAAATAAAAGATGATGAATGAGAATGAACACCAAGATGTACAGGAGCGAGGACAAATGGTAAATCATTATTTCCCCCGATGAATCTAAGTTGATTGAGATAACTCTAATTCCTCCTGCAGAATACTGTCGCACTCCAGATCCTCGCCTGCTGTCCATGATCTTGGAAATGTGATGCCGCAAGGCTTCTTCTTGGCCAGTAGCTTCCTGACTCTCTTCCGCAAGAAAACCAACAGTATGAATATTAACACTCCCTGAAGACTGTTTAGAATGTCCGTAACGATCCTGTAAAATATTATTTAACTATCTCAATGTACTCTTGCTAATGGGGGATGAATTGTGCGTACCAGTAGTAATAGGTTTCCGCTCCACTAGCGAAGGACATAACCTCGAATATCCAAGTGACTCCCATGACAATAAAGAGCTTCGTATAAAGGAGACATTTGAATCTCAGCACTCGCAGTCTACTACCACTGTAAGCACTTTGTACGTGCGACAAACGCCAAAAGGTCATACTGAAGTATATCAAATTCCAAGTCAAGAGGAAAGCCACAGGACCGTAAAAATACACCCATTTTTCCTGATATCCTGAAACCAGATCTGATTAATCATATCTGTTCTGTATGGACCTACGCGATAGAAAGTATAGAATTTATCAGAGATATACCAGCGAACCAGCACGATGACTCCCCAATTCTAGGCTTGATATGCGTTCCTTCTGCGTACTGAGTGATGAGTGTAGCAATCAGAAAACAAATCGGCCCACCCCATCCGATTAAACAGAATATTATGTAGAGCGTATTATTTTTAATAGGGAAATGTTGAAACCTACATGAGCAGAAAACCATATGGTGATTAGAGTCGAAGTTATCGAGCACGCTGATTGGATAGTTCAATAACTCACCAGACTGATTTCCAAACGTCGAAGGCTACCATGTTCAGCCAGAAAAAGGTGCAGAGTAACGTATAGTAGAGCAGAAAGGCTGTAAAAAAAAAAAAGAAGAAAATGATAAATTCACACGAATAAGTAATATTGATGGAAAATTGTACAGCTCGAAGACTCTTCTTCTCACCTAAAGTTAGACAAATGTGATCGGTGGTACTGCCTATGAGATCCGGCAGTATCTGTTGTACAGTAAGTATGATGTACGCCGCAGTGAGTGAAACAATGGCGGATAATATAGCCTTTCCCTGAAGATCCCTTAGCTCGGGCAAAATAATGTAAACCAGGATGGTAACGATGAGGAACAGGGCTGAAATGATGTTGAGAACTCCAAAGACATCGAAACGGCTCTCAAGAAATTCTTCGTCAAAGCATATAAAGGCCACCGGAGTTTCGTTGTGCGTCGTTACGCAGAATCTGTCAAATTCAAAAAATGTCGACATTAATGATCTTCTGCCGTTACCTAATCCGCTTGTACGACAATGAAACTGATATTACTTTCCCTCATCTACAGCGTGCAGATTCCCTATAAAAGTCAGGGAGCCATTTATAACAGTGAAATTATCCTGGGGATTGAGAACCGGATCTATCATGTAAAAATGGTTTGCACAATACAGTTGTATGTGGCTGCCATCTGTGCAGAATTTGCTTCGATTCCACAGGTGCCCTTCCGAACAGCACTGGTTGTTTTCGGCTCGACTCGTTCCGGTTGTCCATAGTAGGAATATCGTTACGAACAATATGAAGAATTGCGAAGCGTTGAACGTAGATCTTGTGGCTGTAACAGAAACGGAGGAATAGTGAACTATTACGGATAGGGCTACGAATGGTAATTGAGAAGATGCGAATTACGTGTATTCAAACGACCATAATCGTCACGTGTAATTGTACTTTTTTTCTAATACATTTTCAGATAACGATATCGCTTTGACATATACTGATGTTGTTCGATTCCCTGGGCGGTTGATTACTTCTACATATGTGTATGCTGAAAGAAGTGGCAATGCCATCAAGACGTGATTGCTCATGGAACTAGTAAAGTCGGTCACATGAAGTTGCTTGCGACGTGTCTTAGTGGTTATTTTCATTTTTATTTTTAATACTTCATTTTTTCTCATGCCGCCAAATTACGTTGTAAACCTCCAGTTGGACTTGTAGCTGAACTGCGTTTACGAATCGTCCGTACTTTTGTACTTTTGCCATGCAATAATACTTTTGGAAATGAAATGACTTCTGCTGAAAGAAATTTTACTCAGGGAGTATTGGATTTGACCAGTAGCTAAATTTGGTCTATATCTACATTTTTAAGCGTATGCATGTACTTATGTGTAGCGAAACTCGAAAGAGCTTTACAATGAATAAAGACTTCGAGGTCGAAGCTCAGATCGGACGGGATACCACTTATAACGGATATGTTTATATATCGAGATTGGACTGTACTCATGTTTACAATGCTAATGTCATTATGCTACCAGTTAATACGTCACTGGATATTACCTGCAGTCCCGCCGGATGCAGTGAAGATATCGTTTAAATGTCTTGACTAACGGTAGACGTGATTGTAGGCGCGGTAAAAAAAAAAAACAATTATTTTATCACAAAGCTTTCTTCGAATTCTATATTTAACTTGTAACGCCCGGATTTCGTATGAACGTAGTATTTACGATATATTAACGGGCGATGAATAAAGTTATTGAAATACAAGGAATATCCCACAGCTGCATATAATAAATAAAAACTGAGACTATATCTGCTGTGACTCTTAATTATCTTCTGGTTCATCGTCTCCGCATTGTGATTACTATTAAGTGCTAAATGATGCCCAAAGTGTAATCTTCATTTTTCTTCGTCAGGTACTTCGAGCATGAGACGATAGTCTTAGAAGTTAATAATTTTTTGCTATACTGAAATTTTACCACGTGACATCATAATAAAAAAAGCTTTTAATGATTGTTATTTAAAGAAATTACACATAGTAAAGAGGTATACGGATGAAAATTACCGTCCGCGTTTCAATTGCAAATGTCGTATGTTAATTGCCTGGATATCTGAAATATAAAATATGCAACGACTCAGTGGAGGTTTCAGGGGTTAATCGCGCTTGAAAATAGCGATCACATTTTTCACAAATAAATATTTTCCAAAGATGCGAGAATAAGTTTGTTCTCATAGAATCATCACGTGACGGAATAGCTGACAACGTTGCACATTGTCAGATATGCCTGTCGTCGTCGTGGATGACTTGGTTTTCTGGAAGAAAAAGTGAAATTATATGAAAATTTCAAATTTTGCATATTTTATCATCAAAAAACGTTTCATGCGTCAAAAAACCGTTTCACGACAGCACATCTTCATATGTTTGAAAATACTAGGGACTCCGCTTAGACATCCACCACAAACGCATTTTTCCACTTGCAATACCTCAAGATATATTTTCATGTGATAAATAAAGCAAATAAGCAAAAAATAAAATTCAACCTATTTTTTTAAAATTCGAATCGAACGATGCGAAAAAGTCACGCGAGTCCCTGTGTATTCCGGTAATGTGTAAAGTAGTACGTACCTCGTGTTTTAGTCATTTTTTTTCAAATGAAAATTCAGGTAAATCCAAAACGAACGATGAGTCTTCTTAATGTCCCCGAGGAATCTCTTACGAAAGAGAGAAAAAAATCCGAAGTGAAGAATACAAAGGAAGTAGTAAAAGCACTATATAGTAGTTTAAGGCTCAACACGTATATATAGTACATAAGTACATACTACAATCACAAATTTTCACAAAGATTCGAAGAGAATTCACGTAAAGATACACTTGTCCGATGCCACGACCAGTTGCAATGTAAATACGAAGAACACAGAAAACTGTTGTATCCAAAACTTCCCGGTGTTCGCCTCAGCTATTTTTATCACATGTAAAACATTATATCTATATTTAATAATGTAATTGAGGCGTTCTTTTTGGAGATAAAATTAGCAGTGCTCCTCTTTTTCACACAGCGCTAGTCATCCTGGGGTAATAAAATACCCCGGGGTCCTATTTTTGAATGCCACTAAAGTATCGACACAAATTATAATCCCATATCTGACAAGCGCACGTGTCGTTACTAAATCGAATAACATAATCAATGTCTAACACGTAATTGACTAAAGCTATAACAATGATGAAAACTAGAAAGATATATCTAAGTTTATCGAAAACTGTGGCACAAAAATTCGATCTGGGGTATTCAATTATCTCACGTGACTAATATTCTTTGAAGAGAGTAATTTAGATTAACGTCGGATTATACGTATATGAAAACTAACAGTTATGACAGTCCATTGTCAAAATCTCAGTCAACAAATTTATTCAGGTTATAAAAAAATAGCTACAATTTTGCTAATATTTATGTGAGAACACGTCATGTTAATAGTTTCCTCATAGCCGATTGGAAAAGAAAAAAAATTTCTACCAGATAAGATTCTCAATTATAACAAGAAGCGTCAGTCCAATAGATATAACGTGACAGGTGTCGCGACGCGTACTGGACGATACTGAAGATCGGAGACCGGAGGACTCTTGCTTACGATGCCGATGAATACTGTGCGCACTAGAATGGAGATTGCCCCTCCACTCCGTGGAAGCTCAAGAATTTGCAGGCTTCATTGGGAAGGTAGCTACTGTTGATGTTTCTCCTGTGATGAGTATAGTGCTCGGAGAATCCTCAACGGAGACCATTCGGTCCGATATAAATTAGTTATATCGGGAATATATATCCCATTACGATACACGCTTAATGGGGACAAGCTCAACCATCTTTACTAAAGTTCACCCGATAATCGGTTTTATTTTATTTCCTTACCGCCTGGAGCCTAATCGTCATCGATAAATCGATGGTTGTCAATCGACCTATGGATTTGATGGATTTTTTAACCATCAGCGTATAATCTTATCGTCTCTTTAAAGTCACGTCACGTGACAGTTGTACATTTTTACGTCAGATGTCGCCCAGTGTCAGTAGTACGTGTCTGGAGCGGGAACACATGTTATTCCTCAATTTTATAGCCGTTTTGTTGTATTGTATATTAGTCACTTCCGATATTATCATAATTATTTTTCCTTAATTACATAAGTACCTAACTTATTCATAGAATTCTTAACGTGACCAACTTTTTATTGGTTTCCGGCTTTCTCTTGAAATGCTACGTTTTAGGCTGTGTAATTTAGTACAATACGTAAACTCGTAGTAAAGTTTTTAATACACAATTACACTGAAGACTTGTAAACACTTTAGCAGAACTCGAGTGCGTCACTTGCTTACCCGCGGATTTGACGTTCATTCAAATTAAATTGGATGATATGACGATGACTGGCGATAACAATGGGATATCGTGGCCAGTCTGACTCGTCGATACGACTCATCCTTTTGAAAAAATTCATTGAATTGCAAAATCCTTCTATGTGAGATATGCTAATCTTGTATATACATATTTTTATTTTCAGCTTCTAGAGATGCTCAAATTTTACGCACGTTTTGAGATCAGTGAAGAGACAGGTGATCCACTTACGGATCACGACATGACTCAGCTTCACTACACGAAGATCACGTCCCTTCAGGTATGAATTATTTATAAGAACCTATCTGGTATATTGTTTATGGATAGTCTGTACAATTTTTTTATTTTCTATTTTCTATCTAGAAAGCTGTGTTCGCCAAGTTTCCTGACCTACGTGGATTCGCTTTGGCCAACGTCGCAAGCGTCGACACCAGGGAGGCACTCTTTAAGCACTTTGGATCGCTCGGGTTAGTTAATTTGTAGTGCGTGTACATACATACCTCTACCTGCTGAATACTTTGTAGATGCACATGTGTATAGTACGCACGTCAACACAGACGTCTACGAGATCTACTACACGATTTTAACGCAGATAAGACGCTTATAATCAATTGTTTTTGTAATTTAGGCAGGAGAGATTGAGATCAATAGCCAGCTATCTGAACCTGGTGCCACCGGAAGAACGTGAGAAGGATGAAAATTGGTATAGACTGGATTTGGATTTTCTTCGGGAGTTATTGGTAAGCTTGGTGAACTGTTAGTTTGGAGTTAATGATTCATTAACGAGAAGGGGAGAAGACGAGTGGAATTTTAAAAAAATGTATTACTTTAGATTTCAAGGCACGAGCGACGAGCTTCTCAGTTGGAGGAACTTAATGAAATGCCACTTTATCCTACTGAAGAAGTTATATGGAATGAGAGCATAGTACCCACCGAGTATTTTTCCGGCGAGGGATGTTTGGCCTTACCGAAGTTGAATTTGCAATTTCTTACTCTTCATGACTATCTACTAAGAAACTTTAATCTCTTTCGATTGGAATCTACGTGTAGGTGTCTTAATGATTAACGTTCTGATTATTTACATTAGATGCCTGATAATCTGTTTACCTGTTTTTTTAGATGAAATTCGGCAGGATATAGAGGATGCTGTTAGTCGTTTGAGTCCTTGGTAAGTATCTGTGTAATCTTAATTAATAAATTTAAAAGAAATGCACGAGTGTAACAATGAATTTTCAGGAGGGCCGAAGATAGTGGCGTTTATTTCGGTGGCTGGGCGAGGATGGCTCAGCCAATAACGCAATTCGCAGTGGTCGAGGTAGCTAAGCCAAACATTGGCGAAAAGCGTCCATCTAGAGTGCGTGCTGACGTCACAATAAATCTGAGTGTCCGGCGTGAAATAAAATCTGAATGGGAAAATTTAAGGAAGCATGACGTTTGTTTCTTGATCACAGTCAACCCTGAAAGTCCCATAGGTAAAGGAAATAATAATTTGTCCTGAAATTATTTGTTCTAAATCGTTTGTCCTAAATAATAATATATTAAATTCATTGGGACAATCAATATTTTAGGACAAATGACTTCTCCCCAGGCGAAACAGATTCCACAAAGCATAGACGCGTCTCTTAATGGTTATAGTGATGTAAGACGCTACGCTTTTTGTTGCAGGCACTAAGTACAGTCACAAGCTACCCTTTGTACCACAAGTTGGTCTTACGACTGTCAGAGGATGTGAAATTGAGGGCATGCTGGACTCGAATGGTCGCGTAATTGAAGACGGGCCTGAGCCGAGACCAATTTTGCCTGGTGATTCAAGAACTTACAGAGTCTGGCTTGACTCAAATCAGTATCGTATTGACATGGACAACGCTAGTCACGGTAGTGAGGATGTTTATGAAGGATTCAATGTGATCATGAGAAGAAAACCAAAAGAAAATAATTTTAAAGCAGTTCTCGAGACAATCAGAGAACTCATGAACACAGAATGCGTCGTACCTGACTGGTTGCATAATATTATATTGGGTTATGGGGATCCTGGCGCTGCAAGATACTTTAGGTATTATCTAGATAATGATTCTAGTGTATCTTGATTTTGTAGGTATATTTCTTTTATATATTCTATAGGATGCCGGATGAAATTCCAACCATGGACTTTAACGACACGTTTTTGGATATCGATCACTTAAAATCCAGCTTTCCAGGATACGAGATTAAAGTTTCAACTGATGATTCAGAGAAACTTGTGCGACCTTTCAGGTTGACCTTTGAAGATGTCATTAATAAACATAATGATGAGCCTGTAAAGAAAGTCATAAGAGTAGAACCTCACGTGCCTCCAAGTAGGGGACCTTACAAAGCAAATGAACCTAAAAAGTGAGTATTTCTTATTTGAACGAACTGAAAACATATTGACTTACTTGGTAATTTTTCGTGACATTGATCGAATATGAAAACGATTTATCTGATTAACGATCAATTGGATAGTGTTGACTAACCTGTTACCACCTAAGATTCATAAGTCTTACAACGCACTTAGTGCGATTTACGTTAACAGATTCGACATCACTGAATAACGTGATGTATGTTTTTTTTTTAACTTTTCCAGAAATCAAATTCCATTCACGCCTACGCAAGTTGAAGCCATTCGCGCTGGTATGCAACCCGGCTTGACTCTAGTAGTTGGTCCTCCGGGAACTGGTAAAACTGATGTGGCAGTTCAAATAATTTCAAATCTGTATCACAATTTTCCAAATCAAAGGACACTCATTGTCACTCATTCGAATCAGGCTCTTAATCAACTCTTCGAAAAGATCATGGCTTTGGACATTGATGAGAGACATTTATTGCGTCTTGGTCACGGAGAAGAGGCTCTAGAGACCGAGAAGGATTTCAGTAGATACGGTAGAGTCAACTACGTCCTGGCTAAACGTTTGGATTTACTTATGGAAGTCCAGAGATTACAGGTAATTCATTCACATGCGATTATCAGACTTCGTTCGCGAGAATGACGACAGACTGGACGTTAATTGCCGAAGGCTTATGTTACGTGAATTTTATTTTGTTTTGTCGGGACACGAGAAGCAAAACATTTTGTATGGGATGCTGCTTGTCTCTTTCTCATTCGATTACGTCACTACAGTGCCAGATGTATTATCTAATATGATGGTTTGCACATTTATCTCAGTATCTTGTCAGATGTAATGTTGTCTAGTAGAGAAAAAAAAATAGTATACATAGATATACAAAATAGGAGAGTTCATGAACTGTATAATTAATAATTATAAAAATTATTCGGCAGGAGTCATTAAACGTCAAGGGTGACGTAGCTTATACTTGCGAAACGGCTGGACACTTTTTCATGTATCAGGTTATGACACGTTGGGACAGATTTGAAGCCAGAATAAAACAACGTCTTGCTGGAAAAAATCCACCCAGTGAATCACTTATCTCGGATGAATTTCCATTTCATAAATTCTTCGACAACGCACCACAGCCACTCTTCAAGCAGAAGTGTATTAAGGATGACCTAGAAGTGGCTCGCAGCTGCTTTCGATACATAGAAAGAATATTCACTCAGTTAGAGGAATTCCGTGCGTTTGAATTGCTTAGGTCGGGTCTAGATAGATCAAAGTATTTATTGGTAAAGGAAGCAAAGGTTATCGCAATGACCTGTACGCACGCAGCGCTCAAGAGACGAGAACTCGTAGATATGGGATTCAAATATGATAATATACTCATGGAAGAGTCCGCGCAGATCCTTGAAATTGAGACTTTCATACCACTTCTATTGCAAAATCCTCAGGATGGATATAATCGGTTAAAGCGATGGATCATGATTGGTGACCATCATCAGTTACCACCGGTTATAAAGAATATGGCCTTTCAGAAATACTCGAATATGGAGCAATCTCTTTTTGCTAGATTCGTTAGATTAGGAGTGCCTACGGTGGATCTGGATGGTCAGGGTCGTGCCAGACCGAGCATCTGCAATCTTTATAATTGGCGATACAAGAAGCTTGGTAATTTATTGCACGTGGAACGTAGTCCCGAGTATCTCGTTGCTAATGCTGGATTTCTTTATGACTTTCAACTTATTAATGTCGAGGATTTTAATGGAGTTGGAGAGAGCGAGCCTAGCGCTTACTTCTATCAGAATCTGGCAGAGGCTGAGTACTGTGTTGCCGTTTTTATGTATATGAGGCTTCTTGGATATGCAGCGGACAAAATTAGTATTCTTACCACATATAATGGTCAGAAGCATCTTATACGAGATGTCATTAATATTAGGTTGGTACTGATTAGAAACACTTTGTATGAATTACTGAAAGGCAGTAATATTGATCCTTCTTTTTTTTTTTACAGATGTGCTAATAATCCATTAATTGGTCGACCAAATAAAGTGACGACTGTTGACAAGTATCAAGGTCAACAGAATGATTATATCTTGTTGTCCCTGGTAAAAACCCGCGCCGTCGGACACTTGAGGGACGCCCGGCGTCTTGTGGTCGCAATGTCTCGTGCACGTTTAGGTCTCTATGTATTCGCACGTGTCTCCCTGTTTAAAAATTGCTTTGAGTTGACTCCAGCATTCGATCAGTTAATGAGGCGTCCTTTAAAGCTGCAACTTCTACCCCAGGAAGTGTACCCTACGGACAGACCCTACGATGCAGCACCTTCTAGTCCTCCCATGGAAATTGAAGATATGCCTCATATGGCTAAGTTCGTCTACGATTATTATATGGATAAAGTAAATGGAATGAAGGTACAGCTACATGTGAGTAGTTTTCTATTAAAAGCGTTTCGTATTTTGTTGCTTCCCGTCTGAAAGTGGACTGGCTTACAGGAGAATCAGAAAGAATGGCAAGAGCCAGGAACCATGCAGACACCTGTGAGTCCAACGGACAGAACACATCCTGCCCATCCTGGAGCCGATGACGACACAGATGACGAGGATATGGAACAACCGGAAATCGAACCTGCGAAGACCGAGGAAAAGCCTAAAGGAACGGCGTTGGAACCTATAAAGAATCTACTGGAGGATTCGATGGAAGATGGACAATAGTATCTATCTTAATGAATGAGATGAGTGAAGACTAATTCTACGGAGCGTGATAAAAAATTGTGTATACGTTGGATCATTCGATAAAACCTATATCGTTGATCAATGTTCGTAATAAAACTTTTTCACTTATTATAATACACACCTGAAGTTTAAACTTCCATATCTTTCTGAAATAGAGAAACTTTTCAGTATTTCATGTGATGCATTAAAACTCTTGGCTGTTCAAAATCTGAACATATTTCATAGTTACTCAGCCATTCTCTTCTTTTCCATCACATTTCGCGCTTTGCACCACTTGCCACCAGAGTGCAACTTTTTCTGCTTGATACAGAATCTTTAGGACGTTCATCACGATTCCTACGCGCTTTTTTTGATTTCGATAACTTTCTACTGCTTCTCTTAAGTTCTCTTATCACTCGCGAACTCGATGGGACATAGCTATTGTCAAACTTCATAAGTTTGCTTGTAAAGTCTGGCTGATATTCTTCGACTTTCTTACTGGCTCCCATCGAATTAGGCACATACTCTTCAGAGAAGTTAGTTGGTGCAATGCATGTACTGCTTGGTTCATATGTTTCATATGCACAGGCACCTTCAGCTGCTGGAATAGAATTTGGCACATAATGGATATCTGGGATGACTTTATCATGGAGGACAGTTGGGGTGTATTCATTTGCATCAGTTTGTCTTTGCATTTTTTGCAGTGAACTTTTTCTGCTGGGTACGTATTCCTTATAGCCTGTTTGCTCCTTGCTTGCCTTTGGAATATACTCCTTATATTCTGCTTGTTCCTTAGTTGCCTTTGGCACATATTCTTCTATCGTGGATGGCTGATCCATGGATTTTAGTGTCTGACTTTGTTGTTCACTTGTTCTGTCATTACTATCCATAGAAGTTCTTGAACTATTAATATTAGTCAAATAATCATTTGTTCTGCTTGGTAATCCTTCTTTGTGTTCAGAACAATTTTTTGTGCTAATTGTTACTTCCATTGTCTTTGTTTCAATTTTCTTTTGTGCAGCGGATACTTTAACTCTGATTGTAGGCAGTGAGGTTCTATCATTAGGATCTTCTGATGGCTCAAAGGTATACCTATAACAGAAAACCTTTAAGATTAAATCTTGCATCGGTGTACTGACCAAATCCCAAGACAATGCCTAATTTTCTTACGTGACATCCAAATGTCGTGTGGTTTTTTTCTTTTCAATAGGCTCAAACTTTTGTTCAGAGCATCCAACTTCACTGTTACGAATGAGAGCTTTCTCCAGGATCTCATACAAGGCTGCCCAATCTTCTAGGTCAAGCCACTTGTTGGTAGAAACTAATTTCTTCTTTATCTCCACAGTTTTTTCCTGAATCGTGACAATAGCAGTAGCTGCACAATATTCTGATGCCTAAAACGAATATAACAAGATGTAATATTAGTCATGCGATAACAGCAACTGTTGAGAACCGTGACAGCTGTCGGAGATACCTTAATCACTTCCAGGTAATGTCCCTCTCTGAACATCTTGACAGTCCAAATTCACGTGAAAAAATAACTCGATATTAGTTTTCCTTGTTAAGTCCGGGAAAACACTTGGTTTCAAAATCGCAAACACTTGTACATACAATAAATCAACAGCCAGGACGATGAGATCTGCACGCAAAAGAATGTACAAGTATGGAATGCGAGACGCGCACGAAGCACTTGAGCCAAGTGCATAGACGTCAGACAGCAGGAGAGGGAATTTCAAAGAAAGGACGAATCACGTCTGCGCAATACGTAATGAGACGAAGATTAATACTTTAAAGGCATAAATTATGAGAAACAACACAACACTCACTTTATATAAAAAATTATAAAATAAAAGAAAACAAAGAATCTTGGAATGCATTCTAAGAATGATGCATCCACTGTTTAAATTATAAGCTACATGCTAAAACACTTGGGAATACGATCTACTTTTATTTTCAGTGTCAAATTCAACAAGCTACTTGCATTTCATTAACCAATCCGAGTCGAATATTTAATTTTGAGTTGATACTTTTGAAAACACTCAAAAATAATATATTTAATTAACCGTTATCAAACTTTCTGATGTTTATGTAAGAGAATGCTATTGACAACACTTAGATTACCGCAATATTTATAACTCTCAGTTCACAGATTGTAAGTATTAAATATGTCGAAGGAAATAGGTATCAATATGGCGCGAAGACGACATTAGTGGACTCAAAGGAATAAAGTACCTTTTACTTTGGTTTATTTAAAAAATCATGATTCTTTGCACCCTTAGATGAGCAAAACCAATTTGCTATCTACGCCATTGGTTTTATACAGATATAGTATGGAGGGGGCATTGAGTAGCAAATAAAGTGAATCTTGTTTCCCCTCCACGTAGTCTTCCACGGAACCAGTCATAGGCGTAGACAGCAGTATCAGCCGTGCCCATCTAGGAATCGTGATGAATTGCTAAAATTATAAAATTGCATAACTTTTAATAATTTATTTATAAAATAGTTCCTCTCTTACTGTACAGCAATGCTGTGTTAATCTTTACTGGAATCTGCAGCTTCCCACATTGATATTTTGCTACCACTGGCAACTAAGAAACAATTTTTTTGTGGATGGACTGAAAGTGACACTGTGGGATGTTTTGAGTCTTCGACTTCTGAGAGTTTTGCAACCACTTTCTGATTCACTAGTTCCCATATCCATAATTTCCCATCTCCCGAGCCTGATATTATATGAGTGTCTTGATAATCTACACTAGATTCTAGACACAGGTTATTTGCATCGTGACCTGTAAACTCGCCAAGAAGTTCTCCAGAATCTTTGTCTATTAATCTGACAACACCATCAGCGCAGCTTGCTACTATACATTGTCCATCTCTTGTAAAACTGGCGCAGGTTATATCCTCTGCAAAATAAGTTACGTAAATAGTTAGTTGAAAATGTCTATTTTGCAAAAATAATATCAACATTAATATACATACCACCAATTGCATCAGTTAGTACTTCACCAACGCGAATATCATATCTACGAATTTTTCCATCAAACGATGCAGATAGAATTTCATGATCAGATACTCTGACACTTGAAATGGTGTCCTTTGCATCTCGTAAGGTCTGTACTGGTTCTATAGCTTTCGATCTTACATCCCAGCACATTACAGCATTGTCTCGTGAACCAGATACTGCCATTGTAGACTCCTCATTGAATCTTAGGATTTACACAATATGACAAATTTATTTTTATAAATTATACTTGATTATGAAGTAGATAACGACAGTTCAATACCAGGGTGATAATAAGCTATATCACCTGACTGTTGTAACTGGTCCAACATGACCTCGCAGCCTGCGCACTGGTGTACCTGTAGCAACATCCCAAAGAATAACAGATTTATCCATTCCTGAAGACACAATTTGACTGCTCTCGCATGAGGCACAGGCATCTGACACTTCAGCTCCATGCCCACCATACGTTTTTAACAGTGCACATCTATATGGATTCCACAGCTTTAACTTTCTATCTGACCCACATGTAATACAGTAAGATCCATCCACTAAAAAATGTATAATCAATTATGTCTACTATAAGAACATTTGACAAGATATACAGTGACTTAAACTAATGAGTTGTAAAGCAATGAATTTTTATTTTGGTAATTTGACACGTAGGAATAAAAGGCACTTACGTGAACTTACCACTAAATCTTACAGCTCGAACCGCTCCTTGCTTACAGTCAATACTGGAAACAAATTTAAATTCCATTTTCAGGTAAAATCTTGTTTCTTGAAAATTCAAACGTGCTATTATTTTGCTTCCCAAATGACAAAGTCATGAACTGATGAAAAGCAAGAGAGACAACTGCACGTCACATACCAGAGATGAGTGGGTAGATGCACAACACTATGGTTTCAGGTGATACCAAAATCAATGGCGCTAAATCGAAGTGGCGAGTCTGAAAGTAGGATTCTGTGATCCCCAACCACCGAGCATTCCATTCGTGTTCACGCATTCTGCAATATCGGCTGAAACGATGATTACGACCCGCGCGGCTACAGAGGAATCTGCTACGTCGACAGAGGCGATGATCACAAAATCCTCATTGGAGGGGTCAGCCATAAGGAAAGGAAGGTAGGTTACAGCAGGTTACACGTGTAGTTCTTAACCTCAAATTGCTTCAAGCCGATGCGCGTGTTTTCTCAATGAAGTGAAGTGATGGGTGCTCCAAAGAAAGCTTTAAAAAGAAAGCAGGGAATATCAAAACTCAAACCAGATGCTGAAAGTAGTAAAAATGAAGAAAGTAATTCCGATAACGCTGTGGTAAGATTATTTTAATTGGTTCATTGTTGTCCACGTATTACAAATTACTTAGATTGCGCTGCTTATTGTTAAAACGTTATAGGATTTTGGTACAGAAGATTTATTAGCGGCCGAGTTAAATGGTGATGGCGACAGTACTGATGAAGAAATTGAAGAGAATGAAGTTCCTGATTCTGATGCAGAACAAGATCCTACGATTTTTGATTCAGATGATCCTGATGAGAGTTTAATCGAATTTGAAACTGGATCTGAAGACAATGATTCTGAAGAGTTAGAATTTGAAGAGGACGATGATGTTGATGACGATGATGATGAAGAGGAAGAGGAGGATGAGGATGAGGATGAAAACGAAGAAGAAGAACATGAAAATTCCGAATCAGAGGGCAATACTCCGCCACCAAAAACTAACAATAAATCATTAATAAAATCTAGCATAGGAAAGGAAGATAGCTCAAATAATTCCTTTTCAAGGAGGGATAATACAGTACTTGATAAGATGACAGAAAGACAACATAAGTCAAAGAATCAGATAGAGCAAAAATCAAGCAATATGAGAAATACGAGCAGGCAAAAGAACTCACAGAAATCAGTAAATACAAAAATCAGTTCTATTAAACCACATATTACTAACTTATCCTCAGGTGCCGATGAGTATGAAAATGACACCTCCGATGAAGAAGATATTCGTAATACTGTTGGTAATATACCAATGAAGTGGTATGATGAATATCCTCACATTGGATATGATTGGGATGGTAAAAAAATTTTAAAACCACAAAAGGGAGATCAGTTGGATAATTTCCTCAAAAGAATGGAAGATCCTGATTTTTGGAGGACTATTAAAGACCCCCAGACAGGACAAGATGTTATTTTAAGTGAAGCAGATATTGACTTGATTACAAGGATTCAAAAACAAAAAATTCCAGACGCTCAATTTGATGAATATGCAGTAAGTTACATTCTAGTTTGACTAACATAATATAGTAAATCAATTCTAATTTAACTGAATACATTTGAATTTCAATATTTTACAGCCTTGGGTGGAATGGTTTACATCTGAAGTAATGAAAATGCCTCTTCGCAAATTCCCAGAACACAAGCGTTCGTTTTTACCATCAAAAGTGGAAGCTAAAAAAGTTTCAAAATTAGTTCATGCTCTTAAAATGGGTTGGATAAAATCTACTGCAGAATTGGAAAAGGAAAGAGCACAAAAGAACAAAGATCCACAATTTTATATGCTTTGGCAGACAGACGATCAACCTGAAGAAATGCGCAGAATTCACAAACATATACCAGCTCCAAAAAGACATCTTCCAGGTCACGCGGAAAGTTATAATCCACCACCAGAGTACTTGTTTGACAGTAAAGAACTGAAACAATGGAACAAATTAAAATCCACACCATGGAAAAGGAAATTACATTTTGTTCCACAAAAATTTAACTCTTTAAGAGATGTACCTGCCTATCCTAGATACATTAAGGAGAGATTCCAGAGGTGTCTAGATTTGTATCTTTGCCCCAGAGCATTGAAAATGAGATTAACTATCGACCCAGAGGTATTAGTACCGCAGTTACCTAGTCCTAAAGATTTACAGCCATTCCCAACCATAATGTCCATGGTATTTAAAGGCCATACCGATATGGTTAGGAGTATCACTGCTGAAGCAAAGGGTCAATTTATAGCATCCGGTGGTGATGATATGACTTTGAAAAGTAAGTTCATTAAAATAGCAAATTAATAATACAACTTGTTATATTAATATAAAATTATTGTAGTATGGGAAGTGGCAACTGGTAGATGTCTAAAAACTGTGCCATGCGGTGGTATCATAAGAAGTGTTGCATGGTGTCCTAACCAAGCTATATCTCTTATTGCTGTGGCAGCTGATAAAAAGGTGCTCTTGATAAATCCTGGAGTTGGTGATCACTTGATCACGAGTAAAACAGATCAACTTTTAGAAATAATACCACAAAGTGACGTTATTGGTAAGCACATTTATAAAGCAAGCAAGTGTAGATATCTACTCCAAAATATCGCTGTAAAAATTCATCATAATATAATCCTTTTAGTAAATGAAAGAGTAAAAGCAGCAGTCCAATGGGAACAAACGGAGGGTGAAAACTGGCAGAAAGGAATTCGTGGGATACTAAATCATTTCCAAAATGTCAAACAAGTAACGTGGCATGGCAAGGGAGACTATTTCGCCACAGTTATGCCAGAAGGTCAAAATAGATCTGTCTTAATAAATCAATTATCAAAAAGACGGTCTCAGATACCATTCAGTAGATCTAAAGGTCTCATACAATGTGTTCTGTTCCATCCTATACGACCATTCTTATTTGTTGCAGTAAGTATCTAACTCGACTACAATTTACTACTAAATATATTCCTTACTTATGTAAACATTTATTATAGACACAAAGGAACGTACGAGTGTACGATTTGATGAAGCAGGAAATGGTGAAAAAATTACTCTCAAATTCACAATGGATATCAACAATGGCTATACATCCTGGTACTGTATTTTACTTTATAGTACAATATCATCTAACGCAGCAACATTCACGCATAATAAATAATATTTCACTTAGGTGGTGATAATATTCTGGTCGGCACCTATGATCGTAAAATGCTTTGGTTTGATTTGGACTTGAGTACAAAACCGTACCAGACATTACGTTTACATGGAACAGGTGTTCGTGGTGTCGCTTTTCACAAACGTTATCCATTATTTGCATCTGGAGCTGATGACAGAGGACTTATCATTTCTCACGGAATGGTCTACAAGTAAGCAGATCTTGTCAAAATCAATTTTTATCGTTAAAATTAATCGGTAGGCAATAACGAGTAATTAATAATATTCACAGTGATCTGTTACAAAATCCATTGATCGTGCCCCTGAAGAGATTGTGTAATCACGAATCATACAATGATTTTGGAATATTGGACGTCATGTTTCATCCAATTCAGCCATGGGTATTCTCCGCTGGAGCAGATGCTACTATACGAATGTATACCTAATTACGGTCAATCATTATTACTTCTTATGTAGAAGCGTATTGTGTTATTCCTGATAATATAATTGTAATTGGTATTATTCACGCTCCACCAATTACATTGATCAATCTTTATTTCTATTTGGGTTTTCATTCTCTACAAAAGCAAGTTGACCAGGTCGCTTTTTATTTATACCTTTAATTATCATATAAAATTGTGCTTGGAAAGTAATTAAAATTACATTGCATTGTCTCTATAGATCAAACATATAGGAACTTCTAGGATATCATAATTTTATATCTGACTCTTTCTTAAACAGTATAAAAAAAAGCATAGGGTGATTTTACATTGTACAAAAGTAAAACTTATTAACCTTGATACTTAGTAATATTTTAATTAACCAAATTAATTGCTTTGTTAAGCCTAGATAATTTAGTTTCAAAATTGAAAGCTGTTATTCCCAATTTTAAGTATTCGCGGTTTCCTTTAATATACCACACCATGTATCATTTGCTGGTAGCGATTATTAACGAATATGACTACGACAAAGGCGAGTGACCTAAACATTGCCATTCAGGTTCGCCACATTCACAGGTGCGACCTGCATGTCGAACCTGGAACACTGTAACAACACCTCTGTTGTCGTCAAATCGACAACTGATGTGTAAGTCGTGAATTAAAAACGTATAAAATTGATTTCCCCAGCGTTGCCTCAAGTATACTGATCTGGGATCCTCCCGTAGTACGTTTTCAATTGCACGTTTTTGCTCATCCGTTTTATCCTCTAGAATTTCATTCAACTGTATTAGAGCTCGATCGTTGAAGACAACGGACAATGTGGAGACCCTCGGACGGAATATCCAATCTGGAACTCTCACTTCGGCGGAGTTTATCTCAGCTCGTGTATTTTGTACAGCCCTTACTTCAGTATTTAAATTCACAGTGATACTATCAACGACATTGCTGTTTGAAGTCGAAGTTATACCTTGTATATTCGATACGGTCTGTGAAGAGGTAAGAGTTTGAGATGCAAAACCCTCTTCACCATCTGGTGCTTCACGAATACCCATTCTTACTGGAGAATTGTCAAGTCTTGGATTTATAGTTCGTCTACGAATCAAGTCTAAGTCTGTACCGTAAACAGTACTCGAACCATCAGCTCCGTCTAGAAGTCTGGAATTTCTAGATCGCTGATCCTGTGTGTAATTTACATCGTTGCTCCTTATTGTACGACTTGCATTTCTGGTATCGTGGGAATTTAAATTTATACTTTGCAATCTTTGGCCAGTTTCTCTTATTTCTGATTGGAAGTCTGTGTTTCTGGTAATAACAGTGTTTGTAGATTCTACTGTTGTTGCTTCTCGTCTGTTCGATGCATTGAAATCTGTATTCAATACGTCTGTTCTATCACGAATTATGTCAGGGTTGCGTGACACAGCTATTGCGTTACTTTCAAAACCGCTTGCATTCTCAAAATTATCTGGCATGCGGAAATAATTTCTGGACTCGGTAAAGTCCTCGTAGTTTGGTATGCCTTCGAATTCTTCCGCTTGTAATCTAAGAGCTATCTCTTCATCTCGTGAAATATCACTGGCTTGTGTGGCGTTGCTTATACTAATAGGAGAATTTGGTTCCTGTGATGCAGTTCTATTAGATCCTTCATTAAAATCGAAGTCTATGTTGGCATTTACACTTATACCAACTTCTTCTGTCAACCTTTGGTCAATATTTTCTAAGATCTCACTATCATTTAAATTGTATTCTACTTGTCTACCATTTGACTTTTCGATATGTAATGGATTGTCATACTGTGGTATATATGGTTTTATATCTAACACTGGTGTTTGATCTACCATATCAACACCCTCAAAGAAAATTGTATTATTTTCAATTTTCACTATTTTCACAAGGCTTAAGCCTATTGGACATGGACGATGAGGAGATCTTGTAGAAAACACACCAGTTCTTGCACCGTTAAGTCGGGGCGGTGCAACCTTTGCCCGGACATGTGTTGAATCGTTTCTATGAAAATGAAAAAGGATCCTGAAAAAAAAATGTTATTAGTGGCAACAATTATGGGTGTGTTTCATAACTCTCTGCAAATGTTGTGTAATCTTGTGTCTTTGTCTGACACATTATGGAAAAAAAAAAGATACGACAATGTTTTTAATGCTTATAGTACTTGCAGTAGATGTCTGAAACACACTCTATATTACTTGAACAATGTTAAGTGTTATATTTACCACATATGTGAGAAATCCTGTAATCCTTCCAAAGCATGTTCAGGGTTTGTGAATACAGAGTTGAACAGTGTTAATTTTCCTGGGGCTTTGCCACAAATACCCGGTTGTCTTGGAGTTCCTCTCTTACTTGGAAACCAAGTTGAAATTAATCCAATTGGTTTTAATTTTAAGGTATCATCAGTATCAGTACTTGTGCTTGGCTGTGATCCTCTTGTAAGAATAGAATTAGATGCACGGAAGGTAATACCATCCGTACTTAATCCTAAAAGTCGTTTTATATTATCTACATCTTTTTCATGGACGTATCGGAGACTTTTAATCTGCTGCCTGAAAATACGCAATTTTATTCAAATTTTAATCATAAGATTATAAACATATGTAACAGTTGCGGTCATTTAGTGCTGAAAAATATGATAAAGTATTGTAAAGCAAAACTTTTGCTGTTATTAACTTAACAATATGTATTACTTAAAAAAAAAAGTAGTAATAACGTGCATTCAAAAAGTATATCGTGCAGTCATGAAGGAGGTTATATATAAATCATTTGTCAAACAAATCACACTACGTAAATGCATCCATACAAGTCCTACTACATGATATTATATGAAATATAACTGTACCTTAAATTATTAATTTCTTTTCTGGCCGTATTTAATTGGCCAAGCAAGTATTTTGGATCTAAATCCGAATTTTGACATCCCGCATCCATGTCCAGACAGCAGTCAGTAAATGTTCTCAACTTCTATCACGACACCATCATCTATAACGATTTCCATGTAACCTTCGTTGATTTTTCCACGAATTGGGAAGCTGGGTTGGACCATCTGAAAGTGCATTTCCCAAGGAATCGCGCATGATCAAAGAATATCAATTTTTTTAACAGTATCCTATAATTTATAAGACTTGACCTTTTTCTTCATTATCTATCAATAAGTGACCCTTGTATGTACATACATACAGAGTTCCTTAATTTCATATCTATAACCAGGCGAAAGGTTGGATTAACGTTATTCTACAAGTGATACAACTTAAATCTAACTGTACTTTAATAAGAATACATTCTGCTATATATACAGATATATCGAGTGCCATACTTTCTCTGTGTACGTACATAATCAGCACAGCGAATAGCGAAGAAAATCGTTCATCCCAAACACCATCTTAAAGTGTCGGTACTACGGATAATTTTACCGCTATTATTATTGTACTGTTATACAGTTTTGTCAACAGTCTTTTTTCAAATAAGACAAGGCTGAGGTGCTGTAATAATACGGACCCTGTTTAATTCTGAATATTAGATGAACCTTGCGCTATCGAAGCTATTCTCTTTCTCGTTGTGTCATTGCGAATTCTGTATTCAAGTTTACTGGTAGGCTAGATAAGACCGGATGTGAGAAAGTCCTACAGTTTGTACTGGTTTATACGTACAACCGGACGATCAGTGAATGGCATAGTACTTGGCAGTTTTGTTTACTCTATTTTCCATTACCTTCAGTGATTACGAATTCCGTGTAATGTGGAGTAATGTGATTATCAGATTTGAACTTACTTTAGGAATTGTGAAGTGAGCTCTGATTATATTCGAGTGATTGATTATTACGGTCTGCTTCAGATTCCTTAGCGTTCATTTGCTTAGCGTTTGGATTATCTATTATTTTGTGCAATAGTGTCTGATGATTGTTGGTTCTACGGTGGTTTTTATGGTGAAATAATGACTCGATTAATTAGAAGATGATGGTGTTGATGAGATTATTTTGATTACGAGTAATATGTGAAAAATGCCGTCTTCAGAAATAGACGAACTCTTGTCGGGACCCTTGGTGACTTGGGTGAGTAAACATTAGTATTATTCTTTGTAGGATTAATTACATGCTTTTTTAGGCCATGTATTTTTAGGAATAAATAAACGAGCTACTCTATTCGATCAATATAACCTAAAGTCAGAGGAACTCTATTATAGATTGTTTGTATCTACTTTAATAGTGTTTCCTTAGAGAATTGAATTTTATTGTGCTTGTTCTGAGACTTATTTGTGTTCATGTAGCTTTTAGGATTGTTATAATAAACTTCTCTATGTTAGTATCTCTCGATATTGTTATTACGTTCTTTGTTATTACCAAATGATTGAGGTATTGACATTTAATATAATCTGTTATCATTCTGTTTATGATGTTATGTTTTTTTTTTTATAATAGTTTATCAGTTGCCTTGAGGATCCTGACTCTTTAACTAATTATGAAGATTTGGTCGATGGAGTTCTGTTACACAGTGTTTTTCTTCAAATGTAAGTCTCCCTTTGGATTTTAGTATTTCATAAAACTATAATAAAATATAGTATTAGGAATACAAAGTGTGCATAAAATTTCTAGTGATCCAGAACCTGTGCATGATGGTGTGATTCCCAGTGGTGGAAATATTTCAATTCGGACAAAGAATCTGGAGCTAATTGTAGGAAATATGAAACAATTTTATGAAGAAGAGTTGGGGCATGTTATCCTAACATTACCGAATTATACAAGTTTGGGAAAAGAGCCAGAATTGTACATAGGCGATATGAAGTTAATGTTACTTTTACTACTTGGATGTGCTGTACAATGTCCTAACAAGGAAACGTTTATTACAAGAATTAAAGAATTGGCTGTAGATACACAGCTTGCAATTGTGGATTGTATCAAGCAGGTGCTGCATCTTCCATATAATAGCTGGAATAAGAAAATTAGTGAATGATGTTAGATATATATATATATATATATTCTTGTCATTGATTCCAACAGGTTACCGACTATCAGGATATTGTCATAACACAAGATTCAATGGACAGTGTTAATATGGGAGTTCTATTCACGCAAATCAAAAAATTGGTCCAGGAACGAGATTTATATCGTGAAGTATGTGCTGTGCATTAAGTAGTCTGCTATTAAATGAATATACAATTTTCAAATAAATCTGGATTATATATGAAGAACTATATAATTTGTTTAATAGAAATGGAAAGGTGCAGCAATAAATGAGATCCCAGAAAGAAATGATTCTTCTGTTAGTGTAGAAATAGAAGAAATCAGTAAAGCTCAGCAATCCAATTCTATATCCAAATCAGAAAGAGAAGACAGTCATCATTATGCGGTTGAACTTGCTGATTGGAAATCAAAAGTGAGAAAACAACGGCAAGAGTTGTAAGTATGCAGATTAGAGTATTCATTGTGATTACTAGTACTACTTTATGGTCATAATTTTCTATGCTTCTAGGGAAGAAAAGACAGAAGCTTTGCTCGAATGCAAGGAGGAGCTTGAACACAATAGAACAGTAGTAACTAAATTAAAACAAGAGGTAAATAATTATTAACTACTCCTTTCCACACCATTCCAAAGTATTTTAAGTATATCCCATTTTTTTATAGAATCAAGAATTAATTCACGAAGCTCGTACAGCGAAATCCTACAGGGATGAGTTGGATGCTGTAATAGAAAAAGCAGAACGAGCCGATCGTTTAGAAATGGAAGTGGCACGATATAGAGAAAAACTGACTGACATTGAATTTTATAAAACGCGCATCGAAGAACTTCGTGAAGATAATAGGTATGTATTATTCTTATTGTAATAATAAACGGTGTCGTTTTATCAAAAAAGAACTGGTAAATAGAACTAGGAGTTAGGAAATATAATTGACATTTATCAGTAGATAATTTAGCTTCGGAAAAAAAATAAAGCTTAATTTAAGACATTATTGTGGATAAAATGGATAATTGAATAGTATAGATCTATCAAACATTTGATAAGTATATTCATTATGCCTACCAACCGCCAGAGATAAAGATCTAAAAGATTATTTCACTTGACTAATTTCTTTATAATAATTATTTTTAATCAACATTATATTGTTTGATAATTTTTATATGGGGAAAATATATGATATACGTTTTTCGAATTACTATTTGACGTATTCTAGAGTACTGATGGAGACCAGAGAGATGTTAGAGGAGCAACTAAGTTCATCAAGAAGACGAGCTGATAAAGTTTTAGAACTTGAATCTGAGATTATAAAATATAAACAACTTCTCAACGACGTGGCTTTGGTAAATATTAAAAAATACAGACTGCTTGATGTTAGAGTGAAAAAAATTAAAAATTAAAAAATCTGCAGGAGAGAGCAGCAGATAAAGAAAAGTATCAGGAATTGTGCGATGAAAATTCTGAATTACATAGATTAACAAAAGCTGCAGCTAACGAGGCTGCATTATCAGAATCTATTAGCGATTCTGAAGAAGCAGGTATGTTTATTATTATCAATATGAAATTAGCTATTAATTGTAGCTATACAGCTAATTGCTATATTAAAATAAAATTTGTTACCTACCTTTCAGTAACTGCTGACAACAGACTATCCGAACAGTTAACCAATAATGCCCAGACACGAGCTTTAAAACTGGAGCTGGAGAATCGTCGTTTAATAACGTTGATTGATTCATTGAAGGAAAATTCGTTTCATGAAAGTTCGTCGCGAGTATTGGAACTCGAAAAGGAGAAGAAAAAACTATCCCTCAAGGTTGATTCTTTAAATGACAACTGCGAGAGACTGTCGCAGCAGAATGCAGATTTGGAATTGGTGTGCAAGCAGGCTCTTGAGGAAAATAAGAAACTGCAAAATTCCCTTAAAAATCAACGAGTCTCGTCTGACAAGCAGCAACAAGAATTCCAGGTCTTTGTCAAAATTACTTCAATTAACGATTTTATTTTCTGATCGTTACTTTTTGCCAGGCCGAGCATGCAAAATCCATAGAATTAGAAAAATCTTATGAGACTGCTGTAAAAGAAAAGCAGAGAATACAGTCCCTACTGGAAAGTGCTCAAAGACGGGCGGACGATTTGGAACGCTCTTTGGAACTTGCAAATCAAAAGCTCGAGGAACTTAAAAGTGTTCGGAACGATGCGCATGATGCAAAATCGAGATGCTCTGATCTTGAATCAAAACTCGCTGTTTTAGAGAAAGAGAAGGAAATCGCTCAGCGCGATATACATAAATATCGTGAAACAATCGAGGTAAGAATAGTAGTTCCGGTAAAAATGCTCGGTCGGCCGTTTGCCTGTACTTGGCACGAGTCTGGACCGAGTGTCTTAGTGACTATATATTACACTATTATTATTATAGGAAAAAGACGTGGCTCTAGACAAAGCAACGAATACGATAGAAGTTTTGGAGAGAAGAGTTATTCAGCTTGAACAGGAAGTTGGGAATTCAATTGCACAAATTTCAAGGTACGTTAAAAATTGTTAATATATAAGTAGTATCTTTGTTATAAATTTTGTAAATTGCTATTGTTACCTGATGCAGATTACAAGAGATAGAGAGATCTAGCAAAGAATTAGATTCACGTGCTGCGATCGATAGAGAGACATTGGAAACTTTACAATCCAATCTTGTAGCCGAAAAATTGAACACTCAACAGCTGCACACTGCATTAGAGAAATTTGGACTAAACGTCGGTACCTTATTGTCTCTTCCACCGGAAGATATTGTAGAAAGGTATTAAATTTAGTTGGATTGATATTCTATTTATTATCAATATTCATTAAATAATTTTATTTAAAAAATTACATAGAATTTCACAAGTTCCCGAAGTTGTAGACTGCGTTAAAAAATCAATAGCTTCAGAAACCCAGTGCAATTGTAGCCAAGCGTCTACCGAATCTACAAATTCCATATCAAATGAAGACTCGAGGAAAAATAACAGTTCACTGGAAACAGTGGAATTACTTAAGGTATCACTTAAATGCGAATTAATATTCATTATAACTTTGGAGCAATAAAAGTTAAATGTAATAATCCATTATTTTTCCAGAAGGAACAAGAAAGCTTGCATCTTAAACTGGTAGATCTTCAAGCGGCATCCGAAAATCTGTTATCAGATAATGCAAGGCTTCAAGTATCTGTAACTACTTTGCAATCACAAAGTTCCTCTCTGGCGACACAACACACCGCTCTCCAACTTGCTAATTCGCAGCTGGTAGCTGAAAAAGAAGAGGTAATCACTGCGTCCGTTTATTTTTCAACGTTACTAATTTTATATTGCTTATATATATATCATCTCTATCAATTATTTTTGTATAAAGAATCCATTTCTTTTCAGCTCTTGAAGGAACGTATTGCTCAGCAACGGGCACATACGCAACTTATACATGATCAAGTGACTCTCCAGTCGCTGCATGAACAACTGAATACAGAGTATGAAAATTTATTAAGAGAACGGGAAGCTCTTAAGATAAATTCAAGGGATGTGAAGAATGAGACACGTGTTCTGCGTGAGACTATTGAAATGCTGGAGACAAAAACTAAAACGTTACAAACTGAAAGAGAAACTTTGACCAACAATGCAAAGTCTTTGAATAATTTGAGAGGAGAACATTCTAAGTTGAAAGTAATTAGTGAATTGTATTCTACTCCCGTTGTGTGTAATTAGCTTGTAAATCTTTAATTTGTTCTCTATCAACAGGAAGACTTTAGAAAGTTATATACAACGTTGGAGAAAGTTAAGGGAGACTATAGAAACTTGCAGGAGGATTACAGGAAAAATAAAGTTGAATGTAATCGGCTGAGTCTTAAACTTACTGAGATGCAAGGTCAATTAAGCTCCAAGGATGAACGATGTTCTACTTTGGAACTTCAGATCAGTAAATTAAATCAACGGTGCGAGGTATGAACTTTCTTTTATTACGTATTATATAAAGGTATAATATACAATATGTCTAAATTAAATTACCTTGTCGATGCTTTTTAGATGCTGCTGCAGATGTACTCTGGTTTAGATAATGACAGACGCTCGCTAATGGATCATATAAGTTTATTGTTTAACCAATACCACGAACTCTTGACGCACTCCCTAGAAGACAAAGAACAGTATCACATGGAAGAAAAAATGTTCACGTGAGTATAACGTAGCGAGCGTTTTAAGCGTTTTGCAATAATCTACAAATTTTAAGAGGTGATTCGAATAAATTGTGTTTTCTAGGGATAAGGTGAATCACTTGTACAGGCAAAAAGAGAAGCTCGAAGAAAAAATTATGGAGCACTACAGAAAACTTGAAAATTGCTCTACAAAAAAGTACGTGAATAACATATTATCTTTTGCAGTATCCTTCATCTGTATATATTTCTATTTCAGGAAAAGCTTTGGAGCAAGTTTTGTTAGAAGAGTAAAGAAAGCAGGCTCAGAATTACTTAGCAAGGTATTACATAAATTGCAATATTTAATCCACATATATCTAATAATTGATTCATTGAACTTTTTAGAATCGACGTTCCTGGGCTGAGGACGTTAAGCCAGTCGAAGGTAAGACATACGAATCAGAATCTGGAGGAAATGATTCTGACGCAAGTGTCGACGATCATCATCTTACAGGTAGGAATTTCCATGCAATTATTAACATACCATTAGCACCATTCATCTATCATTTAATGCGAAATTAATATGGTCTATGTTATCGTGAAATTATTGATTAGATTCTCCAGAGACTAGCGGTCTCGCAAACGAATCCTTATCTCTTGGTCATCCAGGAACACGAAGAACAGTTTATTACACAGGTGATTCCCCACCACCTAGTTCATCCTTAACAGTAAGTAATTTTTTCTTGATTTTACAGATCTAATCAATTTTATTAGGTACTAAACTGTCGATCATTTAAAACGTAGCCGGATAAAAGGGTCAGTGACACACTACAACAGTCAGAAGAAGATGGTCGTGCGAATCCAGTCGAACAGAGTGGAAGAGCCGAACAGCAAAGTGAAGCAAGACCATTTTTAATATACAACAAAGTCTCCGCAGTGATAAACGAATCGAAAAATCTTAGCACTACGGGAGTAAAAGATCCGGAACATGATGAGGTCCTCGTGGACACTCCTAGTGATAAAGATCCAAAAACAGGCAGCTCAGTTTGGTACGAATACGGCTGCGTCTGAACAGTACAAGGCTTTATTAACAATTTGCCCGTTACCCAGCTTTCAATTCTGAAAGATAAAACAAAAATAATAAAACTTTCCTAAACAGTACCACGTATTATCTGAAGTAATAGCAAAAGTATTATTTATACTAAAGACTTGCATTTTTCTAGAGGATAAGACAACATTGGTTTTTTAATAGTTGAAATCTAGGTTTATTCGCAAACAAAAAATTTCCATAGAAAATGGCTGCTGTATCTATAAGTTCCTAAGCGAAAAGAAAAAGAAAAACGTTTTTATCGATGCTAATGACTCAACTAAAATAATGACGAAGCCCAGCGTTAACCCACGGCTTACCTTACACTATTAGAACGTATAATAACGATAAGCAATTTCACCATCGTCCTTACACATCCTTTTTTTACATTTTTATAAATCGATTTTGCATAATGGCTATATCTCCATTAACACCTCATCTAAACGTGTACTTAATTTTGTGTTTTAACATTTTCAGCCCTAAGGACTTTCGAATGTAATAAGCCGTAACGGGAACTGAACACGTTAATCACAAATGTATCTTAAGTTTTAATCGCGTAATGCTACAATTTTGTTTGGCCCTTGTAATATTAAATATAAATTTGCAAGAATTATATTGTCCTGTAAATTCTTTAAAACTCTTATTATCCATAATGAGAATAATAATGAAATTATATCTCTTTCATTGAGTTAAAAAACACCTATCGTGATAAAACATTGAACATGGAATCGTCAGTCGAACTCATTAGCATACAAGAGAGTAGCATAACAGCAAACGTAAAAGTTTTTTCATTGCATATAAAAAATTGCAGAAGGCAAAATAAGGTTACGCGCAAGGCGCCATCTGCCACAGACGGTTCACTATTAGCATCACAAAAAAGTGTAATAGGTTGAGAATCGCCGACGAAGCATCTACTAAGAAATCTTATATCGTGTATATTTAAAATGTGGGACATGATCGTTGGAAAATGGTTCATTTGCTTGGTTCATGTGTATTATCTTTTTACTTCCTTAAATAATTATCCCGGTAATGTAATTTCAAGAGTACTGCTTATTTATCATGCGATCTACATAATTTTGAAATTTTTTGAAAGCCGTTTCTATCATAATGACTACAAATTTGGTTGAAAGAAGTAAAGACTTGGGTAAAACGGCAAATTGCGTTATTTTTTTTAATAAAAATAATAAACTAATTCCTATATGATTTACATATCGTAGTGGTATTTGCGTTATCCGGAAAAACTTTATCATTATTCAAATGACAATGTACTTATCTATTTTAGTTTTGTTTTATCGTAATTTGATTTTGAAAACCCGTCTTTTTTGTTTTCATTTAACCGGAAATCGTATACCCGGAATTAGATGCCTTAACAAGGTACTATCACATGATGTATTAGCATAATAGCATTCGACCCCTTGGAAGGATGGTTCACATGAGTCCTCCCATGGGGTAGGGCTTCCATTTTTTATCGCTTTTCCTTCTCACGAGAAAGTACTGTGGTCAAAAAACTGGCCACCGTGTGCAACCCCTTTCGGAAGTTCTCAGGCCTTGGGAAAATTTGCATACCTGACTCTGACCCAAGGAATATTGTATCTCCCCTTAATCCCGACTTTTGTTTTTTGCCTGGTCGCAACTGCAGATTTGGATTCTGCGTGAGAATGAATACACACACATAGATTATAAGCTATAATGAGTCTTCTGAATCCTCATCGTCTGAGTGCAACCCTTGCACCGAAGACAACGGATCCATTTTTTTTCTTCTAATTCCCATTCCCATTCAATAGTCACAACTTACTGAACCGAATGAAGAAAAAGAGGATTTTCTCTTTGAAAAGTGTTGAAACAAATAACGGTGAGGCGGATTTTTTTTCAATACTGCTGGTAATTCGATAAATCAGGATGAGCGTAGCACAATATTCTTAGATTTCTCAAATTCGCCATCGACGTTACCTTTATTTCAAGAGCCATAATAAAACCGGATGACGATACGTAAATAAATTGTTTTTTACAACTGCCGAAATTTTCACCGATCGACACTTTCACTTGACGATTACACGCGATAATCATTGAGAAATCAATTTAGTTACCCGTAAAGATGACCAAAGGCGTTCGGCTACCAACGTTATTCCCTTTTATGCAAATACCTACAAACAAGAGAACGCTCTCCGATGGTTTTCCAGTCGTGGCATACAAAAAACTTCTTGTGCAGTAACGGTCCAACGGCAAGAACCCTTTCCTGCAGTTTTTTCGCGGTGAAAAATAAAAGTCTTTCCGCAAGGGGGTTGAACGTGGAAGAGGTATAATGGAGGAAGGAGACGAGCCCGCGCGCGAAAATAAGAGTAATAAAATTAAAGGGATGAAAAGAGAAATACATCTATAGACAGTGACGGTGAGAGAGAAAGACGGGGTTGAACGAATCACAAGAGCACAGCGGTGCAGCAAGGAGGGAATCGAGAAGAGGAGAATTTTAAAGGGGGATTCAGTAAAGTAGAAGCCTGCAAAAATGTCGGTTCCTCCCGACGTGGCTTTGGGTACCAGTGACGCTAGTATCGGTGACACGGTAGGGCTACGGTGGTAGTGGCGTAGATGGTGGTGGTAAAGGGGTCGTACGGTCGTACAGGGGTTTTACGGGATATAAGGGTGGGGTAGCCAAAGAGAGGGAAGCTACTTTTTTATGTAATCACATCTCACTCGCACCCACTTTCTATCTCTCCTTCCGTCAGGGGTGGGGGACTGCTTTTTATGTGGCTGCAAGGGCAGGGTGGAGCGTAGCGAGGACAGGAAAGAGTAGTGGGGACCTATGGTGGAGGGTACGGAGGGAGGAGGTGGCCCGTACTATATACTACAGGGTGGGAGTCCGAACACGAGGGTGGGGTGATGCACGCCGACATTCTGGGGTGGGAGGAGGAGGAGGAGACGATAGAGGGGGATCAGAGAATGGGGCAGATATTCTCTCCGACAGCCACAGACTCACTCCCTGACAAACAATGTGCAGCACGCTACCGTTCGGAACGTTTCGTTGTTTCTCATCGCTAAATATTTTCGTGAATTGTCGAGCAGTGCTTTGAGAGAGAACGTGAGTGCGGACGTGCTCTGCTGATCGTTGTGACAATTATTATTACCGTGAATAAACAAACACGCCCGCTCGAACGCTGCCGGGTATTCTTACCACGATCCGCGCACATTAGAAATCACTTTTTTATCGCTGGTCTTGCAAAGAGTCGCTTGTCTTCCCTCATTTATTCTTGAAAACATCTTCGGTGTGAATTACTTGTTTCTTCATTTCTTAGGGTGGATTGGTTTCTTCTTCTTACTGTACTTCCAAGAACCTTATCTCTAGTTCCTCGTCAAATGTGTTTTACCATGTATTCATTTCAAAACAACAGCTTGAACGGTGTATAGTTTGAACGTAGAAAAGATTATTCTGTCTGGGAATGCCATAGATTTCTTGTGTTCGTATCCTTCCTATTCGTGTTTTTTTTTCAACTTTCCGCCTTTGGATTTATCTTGGACAACTTCCTGGATATTTTTTCGACGTGTCACCCTCTCACGAGTCTTTGCTAATTCTCTATTACTCGCGTCATTAAGTCGCAGGTATCTGTCTCTGTGTATTCGTTACTTGCGGGGATTGAAAATTGACAGAATTAGTGCGCGCCGGCATCGTAAGCGGAGTCACAGTAACCTCGTGGCGCGAAGTGCAGTAGTATAGTAAGCGACACGAGGATAGAGTGCGTTACTAGACGGAGAGAGATATAGAGAAAGGAGGAGAGTAGAGTATAGTAAGAGAGAGCGAGTGAGAGGAAAAGACCGTTTGTGTTGAGAGTTAGTAGAGTTGGAGTATATAGCGTACCGGTAACGCATAGTAGACGCGTGGCACGCGAATGTCTGTAGTTGGATGGGATTTTGCGTTCTGGACTGGTCGTCCAGGAGTAGGACAGTGAGGTCAGGGATGGAGACTCGAGTCGGAGTGTGCACCGGGTCAACCGAGGAGGCGCCACGAGGCGTCGGGACGCCCTCCCCCGTGCCTGCTCCTATATCCTCGGTCTCCGGTAACGTCCTCACGGCCGGTATCGCAACGCAAAGCGTCGTCGTTTCCAGCCCACCGTCCTCCCAATCCTCTGGACATCCACAGCCACATACCGTACCCAGGATATTCAGCAGGAACGCCAACGGCACCCGTAAGTTACTATGTATATATTATAATATAATTAATAAGACCAATTAGCCTAATTGATGAGGATACACGTGCTCGTACTATCGTGTATGTACTATCTCAAACTACCTTGGATTCATTATAATACTTACAATTCAGACTTCTGTCATTCGGTTCTATCGTTTCTGCATTGTACGTAAGATGCGTTTATATGCATCGAAATATTGTGAAAATTGATATTTAAACTAATCTTTGTATTTCTCATGGAATTATGTAAGGTCGATTTTCTTTTTGTAATTATGAAAATATATGCTTTTCTAGAATATTCATAAATATGAGTCATGTAAATGAGACAATTGTCAGTGATCTCGAATTCAATGACTTGAGTAACGAAACGACGCGGGCATTCTAGCGATTCAGCTCGGTTGGCGTCTCTCGCGAATTGAGATGACTCACCCTATGAGAAAAAAGCGCGGACCCAAGCAAAAAGTAACTTTTTCTTCCGCTTTCGGCACTAGTATTGCGAGAATCGTTTTTGCGCTTTCTTACGAGACAAACATCGTCAGGAGCCGTACACAACGATCCGGCCGGTTGTGCGGCGAGGGAAAAAAAAAGTATTCCATGGTTTTGCTACATTCCGTGGCCCGTTTCTCCGTATTCGAAATTGCCGGTGAGAAACAGAGACAGTGACGTAGGAAATATAGTAGACATAATTAGACATAGTACATATACGTGTACACAAGATCCACCTGGATAAACGGGCTCCCCTTTTGCCCGTTTTTTTAAACTTTTTCTTTTTCGTTCTCCGCCAGTCAGTCAAAATCGTTCCAGACCACTAAAAAAACTTATGCGCCATGACTACGTCACACTCGACGCTTCCGAGAAATTCGTCAGACAAACATGGCGACTCCAGAATCGAATAGTTCTTGAAATCGGCTCGATGCGGATAATATGGAAAATTTTATACGATTTCCGACACTTTTTTTTATCGTTGCTACGCACTTTTTACATTCATTTCTTTTCACCTTAACTCATAACGGACTAGTACATACATATATCGCGAACTACAGAAGAAAAGTAATCGCGAGAGTGGCCGCTTTGGATTTTCTAGGCAGATCCGCTCGGTTTCTTTATAGATACAGCTGCTTATACTAACGAGGTCTTTCGTTCCTTTTCGGCTGTACAGCCTGCGTCCCTTCTTATATTAAATGTCGACGCAGAAAATACCTCTGAATATAATCTGAATGCCATCAAATCGTTTCACCGGTGGGTGGCTGCACTCGAATGCTTCTTAATTCGAACGGGCAACGGAAAAAGGGGTACCTACTACGTGAATCGTTTGAGGGACTTGAAAAGACCTCTGTCATGTTTACTGGCATACATATGTTCAGCATAGAAATCATACGGACGTATAAAAATACCCAGTCAGAAAATCTTATTCAATAAAAATTTAATTTAAGAGATCAGTCGCTAAACTTCAAGACGCCTAATAATAAATGCATATATTCGTATAACGTAAGAGAGAATGGAGGGAGAGAGAAAAAGAAGTGTACTGTGATCATTAGAGGAATCTGTCGTGTTGTTTTTAAAATATATATGAATCCGTGTTACTTTTTGCTAAGCGCAATAATGAAGAGAGAGAGAGGGGGGGGCGGAGAGAACAAGGTGACAAGAGATACGCATTCAAGTTTCGCGCGCTAGTGCTCTGTGGAAAATGACGCGTAGCCTCGACTGCACTCGCCCTACTCGTCTCGCCACGGGCTGACGAGTCGCAGGAAAATAAATCGAATAAATAGAAAAGTCCAGAGGTCGCGTTAAGGATACCTGGCTGCGAAAATATTTTGACGCAAATAAAAAAGTCGTGTACGTTCAACAATGGGTATAAAAAAAATGAACGAAGGCTCAGAGAAAAAGATAGAGAGACAGGTTAGAGCGCGCACCAGACGGCTGACAAACATATTTAAATTAGGACAGTGGATATACGGAATGATAAGGGTAATATCTATAAGAGAGGTCGAGAACGCAAATGCGAGAGGCATTAAGGGAACTCGTGTCGGAGTGTAGTCCGATCGTGAGAGCGCGGGTGAGAGGATAGAAAGAAAAGGAGAAAGTGGGACATTTGATTGGAATGACAAGGAGGAAACTTTAGGGTTAGGCGATGAAGAGATTGAAAAAGAAAAAATAGATTTCCCACAGGTTTCTTGTGTGAATAAATGAATTTTTTCGACAGTTCTAACCTTTTTTTTTGCATCTCTTATAGGAGAGACAAGAAAGGGTTGCTCGTTGCTAGGGCGTCGTTTTTGTCGAGGGGGGAGAAAAACTATTCTGGACGATCGATCCTGCGACTCACGATCCTCCTTTGCCCTCGATCTTGCCGTGGGGTCTGCGATGACCCTGTCTCACGCCCACTCATATACACCTCCTTCGTGCTATACGAGAATGTCCTGCGTTTGTTTTGTTTCATTTGTAATACGTCACCATTGTCAACCTCAGCCGACCGCACATGGTCGATATTAGACCCTTGTGAAAATTGACCCGAGTTGTAAAAAAAGGTGGACGTGAGTGAAAATGACAAAATTTTTGAATTTTGTCCCACGGAGGTTTGGGCTTGCTGATAAATCGTTATCGTCGTCAATTTAGATCGATTTTAATGTCTCTTGCAAAATTGGAATGCTCGTCTCTTCCTGGCTTGTCCGTCCGAGCGCGTCGAATCGAGAGCAGTCCGAGGCGAAGCGGCCAATGAAATGAAGGTTGGAAAAAAAGAGTCTTTCTCATCGCGGGATTCTCAGCGAGGAGCGTGGAGCGACGCAAAAAGTGAGGAGGGAGAAAAAAGTGTTTCGTAACGAGAGGCAAAAAAGGCCTGAGAAAGAAGCGCGGCCCTTTCGGACCTTTTTTTGTTTTTTCGCTGGCTCCTTCGATATACCTTCTCTCTCTCTCTCTCTCTCACGTTTTTTTACTTCATCTCTTTTTCGTCCTCCGTTTTTCCTCCTCGTGAATTCGCACTGAGGGGTGAAAGAGTCTCGATATGCATATGCGCGGAAGGGTGAGAAGACAACAGGGGTCGCCAAGATGGACCCCGCCGTAATTTCCCCCCCTCAAAATTCGGACAGGTAGGACGCGCGGGCGCTCCGTCGCATCGCCCTTTGGGATTATCGCTTAGAACAAAAAAAAAAAATTGTGCCTTCACCCCTTTTGCTCGTGAGGGGTTTATAAGAAAAAAAGCTTGAACTTAGGGCCTTCTAATTTATTCGTAGGCTCTCCTGTGGGAACCTCCTTTATATTCAGCGAGGTGATTATGTATGGAATGAAAACCTTATAGACAAAAAACAAAATCGGAAAGGGAAGTCCACCCTGACATCGAACGCAGCAGTCAGATCCTGCGGGATTGCCGGAAATCCTCTGTCCTTCGGGATCTGTTTCTTTTGCGAAAAATCATTGAGCCGAATCGAGTATAGATATAGGTATAAATTATTCAAGTTTTTCGTTTTAACTGAAAATCGGATGCTGCGGCTCGATCGCATCTTTTAGACGTAGTTGGCCGTAGGGATGGGCTTTTGATAAAGGCAACTTTTCATAAGAGCTTTGCCGGGGCAACTGGCACTCACGGTTGAACTTGTCATGGACATGTTTAACCATTTTGTTCTTAATCCTGTATTAGAAAAAAAATGTCGTTTATCGATTATTATGTACACAATATATATGTATATTATTTTCCGTAATTTTTTTTGAGGAATTTTAAATATAATCACGGGTGGAATACACTGTACAATCGATACATTTAATCAAATCATATGACCCATTTCTCCATGTTCACTTGTCGCGTACAAATTTCCAACGAATTTGCATTGCAAAATTCGGTCAAGGATTATTGCTGAATTATTCCTAAAAAGTAAGTATAGAAAGTATATGATATGGTAAGAGAAGCATCGGCCATTTTTCCTGAGCAGAAATTGAAAGAGGGGGTAGAAACTTGAAAATTTAATAGGAAGGAGTGGCACAGGGGTTACTTTTAAGGGAGCAGAACTGTGGGCCGTACCCGCCTTAGACCCTTAGGGCCCCAGCCTATGGGTGGTAGTAACCAACCCTTACGCTCAATAGCATACAAGCAGTGTACACCCTTCCAGAAGTACCATAAAAAAAAAATGAGTCACCCTTAGAAATAATTCAACGTATCTATTAAAAAAAAAGATTATCTAACGAAGTATTCAGTATTACAGTATTATAGTTGAATCGTCAGATAAAGTCCGGTAATACGTGCGTCAACCGACTGACTTCATGTTAATTTTTTTTTTTTCAAAAGTCTGGCTACGAACCTTTCGCGCGTAAAGAGATTTTTGAGAATTTTTCTTAAGGGATGAGTAGCGTAGAGGTGGGGCCGAGCTGCTCGCCGAGAGGGTGGAAGAACGTTGGAAGAGCGAAGAGGAGGCAGAGCCAGCGGCGACTCAGTCCATCTGCCCGGTGTTTTGTCCGGGCGGGAGCACAGGGCAAAAACTCACCTAACCCTTCCTTGATTACAATGCCGGCAAAAAGCGAAATACTAACCGCTGCCGCGCGAACGGGCGCTCCTAAGAAACTAGACCCGTTTTTGTGATCGAGCGCCCGCTCCGTGAAGTATCGGACAAAGAACGCGGTACCTCCTCGAGCTCCCTTGCCAGGGAAAAATGCGTGGCCAGTGGATAAAAATTGCGATCGTGCATGCGGCCCTGCACTTTTGCGAATTGAAACAAACTGACGTGGGCGTAACGCTTGACGGTTTATGGCGAAAGCGCACGAAAGGGTAGGAAGTCGGAAAATTCGTAACAGAATCCCTGACCCGTGGTAGTGTCACAGACGCGAAGACGATAAGAAGAATATAAAGAAATTTTAATAATTTTTTAAAAGGTAATAAATTTTCATATAAAAACAATTGTTATATCGTACAAGCAATGTTATCGTGTTAATAATTGACTTGGATTTTTACTATAATTTTTCTAATTCCTTCGTCGGGTTTGTTCAGCCAGGCATCTGCATTCCATAATCGGCAAGAGGGGTGCCCGGAGTAAATGTCTCACGAATAAGAGACAGATTAGCATTCCGAGTAGATGGATTCTTTGGAAAGTTCACTTTTAAATGTGCCCTCTTTCTTCCTCCCCGTGGAGGAGCACCAGCGAGAGCGTACGGAGACGTCAGCGGTCCTCGCCTATACCTCTGGCTCCACGGTATACGTATAGGAAACGATGCCGCCAGGTTCCCAGGGAGCCAGGGGATCAGGTTTTCTCCCCACGTCGCGCACTGGCGTGCCTGACCGCAAGAGCGGGAGACGCTCCGGCTCGCATCACGTTCCCGTGCGATAAAAACAACACCTAGTGCCAAAAAAGTCGTTATGTAAATGACAGGCTAGCGGACGGCCGGGACGGTCAGGTACGCATGGTAAATCGAAGCGGGAATAGGGAAAATAAGAGAAGAGGATGATACGCTCATAATCCGGGGATAGCAGGGAGTCGTTATGACCATCGGTGAGTCATTAATCGATTAATTCGTGAAATAATAGCAACGAGCCGTCGCCATGCTTCCTTGACTCTGCTATGTAAAACAATAAAAAGCAATTCGCGTCCGACGCTCGAACGGAGAGTTCCGGTGATTCAGTATGAAAAATCGTGCCTACGGGGTACGTTCTTTATATCTCTATTTCCTCCGTGACTCTAGTCACAATTGCATCCAGCTCTGCGTCGGCCGTAAGAATCTCGCGAAGCGAGTCACCGTGTGCTGGGATGTTGGAGCGCTTATAGCGTGAGACCGGCCCCAGCTCGTAATAAGACCCGACGGCCAGTTTTTTCATTCTCTCCTTCTCGACTCCTCTCCCCCAGTATTAATTTATACGCGGTACGTGTGTGCACGCCGGCAACGCGCCACTTTTTCTTGCAGTTCCTCGAAATTTGCAAGAAACTAGTTGGACACCCTGACCGCGCGTTCGCCTCCTCTGTAACTACCGAGTGAGATGAGTGGGGAGGTCCGGAGGAGAAGTCCGAGTATATAGAGTAAAAGTGATGCGATGGGGGTTGACGGGTTGAAGGCTGAGAATAGGAGCAAAACTGCGAAGCCCAGGTAAAGGTCGTGTTTAAACGTGGAAAAAAAAAGGGAACCGATGATTCCTGTAGACATGGTCTGGTAAATCGGTAAGAAATCAAATCTCCTGGTTACTCTTCTTGTTACACTTCGATATTGACCCTGCCTTCAAGTTATTCTTCGTGCAGCAAGGTTTTAATGATTATACGATTGATTAATGTTGGGTCGGGGGTCAGTTAGTTGTTGAGAAGACGTATATCGAAATCCTGCAAATTAATTATTGAATTAAAATGTCAATTTTGACTGGTAAAGGATAAACCGTGATAAATAATTTTATGATTATTTTATTTTACCTTCTACTTATTTCTGCGGGTTCTCGAATGACTTTCTTTCAATTATTTATACTTTACGAGCAGCTAATTGCACTGTAATTAATTGTCGGATCGTAAAGATGATTATCGTGATTATCGACTGACGCGGTACTCTTGTTTTACAGTGGTGCAAACGTCGGTGCCTCAAAACGAAGCCGAACTACAATTATACAGGGTGATGCAGCGCGCCTCTCTTCTAGGATACTATGACACTCTCCTGCAAATGGGTAAGCTTGTATTATTTATATTGACAATCAACGTAAAATACCTATATTTGTCTATGCCTTCGAAAGGTGGCGATGACGTTCAGCAATTATGCGATGCCGGCGAGGAGGAGTTCCTGGAAATAATGGCGTTGGTCAATATGGCGAGCAAACCGCTTCACGTGAGAAGGCTTCAGAAAGCTCTTCAAGAATGGCTCACCAATCCTGGTATCGTATACTTCTCGATTTTATTCTATATATGCTTTTCAATCGCGTAATTACCACTGAAATTATTACTCCCTATGTATTTTCAGCCTTGTTCCAGACACCGGTCGTTCCCCCGAATGCATCCTGCAAAACATCAGTGGTTGGATTCCCCTGCGTGAGTCCAAGACCGCAAGGAAATCCCGCAGGATTCACAACGACGTCCCAGACGCCGACGCCATATGCCGCGACGCATGTACCACTCACCCCTTTACCTTGTCGTAGCGCTAGCCCAGTCGTACCACCTACGACTGTCAACGCACCAGTGGCTTCATCCACTTTTCGTCACAGTCCCAGCCCTAACGCGCCCTTGCCTTATACCGCTTCGAATAGTCCTGGTGTATTACAGGTAATGTAGCAAACGCGATAAATCGTACGCTCTATGTATACATTGTTATTCAATGACACGATGAAACGCTGGGTATAGTCTATAAATTGAAAACTTGCATGCCCATTTTGAACGTGCACATCAATTACTATCTAATTGGACGTTTATCTATTGGTCCGGCACTTTCTACCTGCATACAAGCGTTCTCATACAAATTCATAAGAAACCAGCCGATTTTAAGGTAGCCGTCAGCTCCATTACGCTTAAAATGGCTCAGGTTAGTTTTTATTCTTCGATAGGTACAGTCGTTTCGATTTGCCGAGTGGTGCTTTACGCGCGGCACGGCTGTAAAGACTCGTTCATAGAAAAAGCATATATACCGTGTATTTTGCAACGTGTAGGAATTACGATTGAAATCGATGTCAACCGTACTCGCCGATATCCGAATGTAAATAGGACGTTAATTAAAGCTCTATCGAGGTAGTTCTTTTGTTTTTTTTATACTAAGCGAAGTCTAATTGTCAATTGAATACTGGAAATATAGGTGGGTACGTGCGAATCTTCTTGTGGAAGTGGAACCACCCCTAGTCCAAGTGGCGGCGGTGCACCAGCCAGTCCTACTCAGCCTACGCCCACTCTACTGCAGTCCCAAGTTCAACGTCTCGCAGAAGCTGCCGAACGTCTTGCAGCTACTCTTCGACCTCTGGATCCCAAGCCCCATAATGTCAAGAAGAAGATCTGCAAGAATCTTGAGGTCAGGATCATAATTTTTCTTGTATGATCTTGCATCGATTAACTTCGTAAACTTTTGATTCTACAGATGGTGATGGCCATGCCTGACAGTGATCCACGAAGAATGGAGGAAATAAGGAAGTATGCAGCGATCTACGGGAGATTCGATTGCAAGAGGAAACCTGAGAAGCCATTGACACTTCACGAGGTATCCGTGAACGAAGCTGCTGCACAGATTTGCAGATTTGTACCTGCACTTCTAACTAGACGGGACGAGCTCTTCCCTCTGGCACGACGCGTTGTCCGGGATTCCGGATATCACTACTCGAAAAGCCAGTAGTAAGTCTTATTCTTGGTCTCTACGGGGAGATTGGAGTATTGCTCTTGCGCGATATCCGCTCATGTGGATTGATTGGCCTTGCAGCTTGTCGATGACGAGGCCACGTGAAAATGGCGACGAGAATGATGCCGAAAGAACGAAACGACGGCGTCTCGAGCTGGAGGGTGAGGGTGAGGACTCGACGCAGGTTAGCTTACCGGGTCCACAGAATAAAAAATGCACCTCGACCACAGACCTGATGCACTTGACGCATGGTCACGCTAACTAACTGTACGCCGAGCACGTAGCAACACTAATCGCCACTCGCATTTCTTCGAAAACTGCAACTCAAAAGGTCAAGTATAGAACCGCGATTCGAGTTTGCCTTTGGACATTTGAGATTGAATTTAAAATCCTGCATGGAATACGATACGGTTTCCTCTTTGGATCTTCGGGAGGAAGACTGTATTCGTTACGACTCTGGTTTTACGAATGTCGTCTGGAATTATGATAAACACATTCAAATCTAATAGACTATTCTGATCGAGTGATTTTAATGGAGACGATTGTGAGAATATTTGCCAAGTAATGGAGTTGGCGAGGATTTTCTGCATGCGCTTGCTTTTGCATGTATCACACACAGTTATTAAATTTACCACTTATTTATTTATTTATTTACTCATAGTCTAACTTTTAACGTACCCTCGGGATTTTATAGTGCTACGGCCTGTTATAATCCTAATGTAAGATAAACATCTATGTCTCTTCAATTGATACGACACCTTCAAACTTTACGTTGATCTTCCTACAGTTCGAAGGTGTCGCCTTTATATTGTATTTGTGTATTCAATTTTAACTTCGAACTCATCCTAGTGGGGGTTCTCCCTTTGTTATTCCTACTGTCTCTAGCAGTTCACTGTTCTAGGCGGAGTTGGACCTTCGCTGTTCCGGCACGGACATTAATAGTTCCAGTATAAGGAGACACGAAAGTTCAAGGTGATTATTCTGCGTTCCATATTACTTAAAGATATCGTTTTTCAAAGTCATACACTTTCAGAGGAATAATATAACGAAATAAAACTAGTAATTTATATAGCTCCTCTTCTTGTGCGGTAGCTTCTTTAATTTCACTACACTGACATTTTTTCTTCAGTTATATTTTTATTAAGAGGCAACTAGTAGGATGGTCTCCATTGATAAATCATTACAATGGAAAGTATGAAAAGATTGAATATATTCTTATAGAATCACTAGTTCATACGGTTTGGCATTAAACGGTTACTATCGACCTTTAAACGTTCTCCACTCTATGCGTAAATATTAGAAACTATAGAATTATCAGACACGTATGCAAGTATATATTGATGTTCAGATATTCGCAATGTTTCAGTCCAGTTTGGCGGAAGAATAGTAATGGTATATTCAGCACCAGCGTCGAGGAGATCAGCGATTCGGATAGTCAGTTTTCATTTTCAAACGAGGAATCCTCGTCACTGCATGTGAGTAATGATCCAATTTTTTAGTTGAAATCTGTTTCGACTATTTACGGCTATACGAAAAGAGGCATTTATCTTTCAGGACACAAATGAGGCTGAGGCTGACAATACTGATAAGGAAAGTGATTTCAATCTAAAGGTAATAGATCATGTAAAGATATTTTTCATTCTCTGCGAGAATATAATTTTATATATAACATTAATGTTTTAATATTATAATTAATATTTTAATTAATATTTTGTAAATTTGTTTAACTTTGAAAAATTGTTATTTTATCCTTTGCATTTGGTAATAGTGGTAATAAATCGATTATTTATCAGGTTATTGCGTCCCGCGGTGATAACATCATTGCCGTTGCGAATCCTGCATTGATGGAGTGTAACGCAGCTCTGCCAATCAAGGAAGAACCTACGGACGAAAAGCCTACACTGTGATACTACTACTAGAATTGTGAATGATACAACTACGCATGTTGCTATAATTGTTAGGACTATGGTCGTCTTCTGTATCATTCTCATTATCATCTTCAGTATGGGCGTCTTAATGGCCGTAGTAGTCGCCCTTATAGAGATCGTATGTGTTATGGAATCGATTCGCTGCTAAAATTTGCTCATTTACACGTCCTTTATTTTACAAAGTTTAACCAAGGAAGCGAGATGCAATGTCATCGCAATCTGTTATCTAGTTTTAGTGAAATCTCGATACGTAATCGCGCTATGATTCCATGTAAAGTATATATTATATTAGGTATCGATAGGAAATAAAAAAAGAGAATGCAGCTAAATCAAAAGATATATTGACCGCGGATGGAGGCAATGCATGTTTTAAACATAAGATGATTGTATATACAAAATGAAGGTCTTTTTTACTTAGGTTAGATAGATATTTTATTCAAACTACCCTCTTTGACGTATTATTTGTATCAATATAATTATTATGACTCGTTGATTATATTAATTTTTTTTCTTAACCACCACACGACGAATATAACGTAACAATAATCAATTTTAAGTTTCTCTCAGGCAAAACAAATATACAATATAAATACTTACCGATATGAAACATAAAAATACAATTATCAAGGAATATATTAAATGTTCTGCTATATCCTAGTTCAAAACTTTGCTGCTGGGTGGCGCTTTCAACGTATGAAGCTCCCAGCCCTGCCGACAATCCGACAAGGGTCAGCTGTTGTACTGTTAGTGAGGTTATGTTTATACTACACGTGTTCTCTGTATCTTCGTGAAGTTTATGTGAATTTAATGTAAAATATGTCGTCTAAAAAGAAAACAACGAGTTTGGCCGATAAAATAAGTAGTTTAGTAACAGCTGCACCAACAAATTTTGGTTCTGACGATGAAGCTGAAGATACAACAGCAAAAGTCGTAGAACAATTTGAAGACAGTGATAACTCTGATGGTGATTTTCGAGATTCCAGTATAAGGAAACGGAATGTAGATCTTTTAGATCAAATTGATGAAAGGTATGATCTATACAACACCAATATATCAACTCAAATATTTTATTGCTGCTGGAAATGTTGAAAATTAGGTACTATGTAATTTGACCAACATTTTTTTATTCTTAGGTATAAAGGTAAAAAAGTATCAAGGAAGGACATTTACGAGGAGGAAGTAAAAGTTGAATCTAGTGATGAGTTGGAAGAGGGTCTGTCGGAAAATAATTTTAGTGAAGCTGATAGTATACAAGATTCGGATACTGCTGAACAGAAGCGTAATATTGAAGATGACGAAGATGATGATGATTCAGAAAGAGATGTATCAGATTCTGATAATAACCAAGATTCTGATGGAGACAGTAATGAATCAAATTCAGATAATGAAGTAGATTCTGAAATTGATGAGGATAATCCGTTACGTAGAAAAACCAAGTCAGATCTCAATTTCCAACACATCTCAGCTACAAACGTACGTTCAGAAGTAGAAAAAGGAAACTCTGTAAGAAATCAATTGAAAGTCTGGGAAAATCTTTTGGAAATGCGAATAAAATTGCAAAAGTGCTTAATTACTAGTAATAAAATGCCACAATATGATACATATAAAGACTTCAAAAAAGATAATGCATTCACAGCAACTACAAACGATGCAAAGAACAAATTAACACATCTTTTAGATAGTATGTTAAAGCTGCAATCAACACTTCTGAAAAACTATCCTGAAACAAAAAATCTAAATACATTGGGAAAGAAAAGAAAGGCAGACATTAACGAAAGTGCGGAAGAAGACAAAGATGGATACGATGATCCAATGGATGAAGAAATCCCATCAGACACTGAAGATGAAAATGAGAAAAATGAAGATGCATCAGATTCCAAAGACGAAAGCAAAGAAAAAGAAAATATCCAAGAAACACCTAAAAAGAAATTAAAACTCATTGACTATGAGAGGATTCTTGCAGAAAATCATAAATCCTATGCAGCCTATAGAAATAGCGTAATACAAAAATGGAACGACAAAACTCGGATCGCTACTGGAAACTTAACCAAAGGAACGAGTCAGCCAGTCGTCAACCAAATCGAATACATTCTAAATGATAAAATGAAGTTATTAAAGAGGACACAGTTAAAACGCTCAGAGTACGAGATAGTTGGAAAAACATTAGAGGAAGATCAAGATGGCCGAAGAGTGCAGGAACACGATACAGAAATTTATGACGATGATGACTTTTATCATCAGTTACTAAGGGAATTGATTGAATATAAATCTTCAGACGTAACCGATCCCATACAATTAAGCAAACAATGGATACAGTTACAAAATATGAGAAGTAAAATGAAACGAAAAATAGATACAAGAGCGACAAAAGGTAGAAGGATACGATACAACGTTCATACGAAGTTAGTCAACTTCATGGCCCCAATTACGGTTAACGATACGTGGACAGAATTAGCAAGAAACGAATTGTACAGTTCCTTATTTGGAAAAATAAAACCGATGCCAAACGAGGTGGGAAATTAGATTGTATGATTATTATTTAAACAATACCGTCAACATGTAATTATAATGAATTTTCACGAATGTACATAGGACTTAATTTTTATTTCTTACTAAATGTCAAATCGCAATTTAACGTTCATTTGCAGAATATATTTTAGAATTAAGAGTGTTAAAAGGAACGAATTCATCTCCTCTTTGACTTTATGTTGACAAGTTCGTTATTTGAATTGATAATTCACTTATATCAATTTCCTCATGCTTTATCCGTATTCCAAATCAATGTCCTTCCCGACAAATGTATACATTAATTAGTGATATTTTCTAGAAGCAGCAGCGTTCTGCGAATTCATGCTGCTCGCTGAATAAATTGTTGCAAACCTGGTCATTATTACACAAGTAACCAATTTACAGCATAACAATGTTCGTCCATGTCATTAATTTTCCATACATTCCAAAAATAATTGCTTGTGTAGAAATATTTTATAAACTTCCTGCAGCATTTATAAATGATGTTAAATTTTAAAGATGAATGATCCACAATAACCTGCGACGGAATTGAAACAGTATTTTGAACTTTAGCGTTATATTTCCTTTCCTATTCTCTCTTATTCTTTTGTCTCTACACGAATTAGTAACATCTATTAATGGGATAAGCGACTCTAATTATAATACTGTGGTATAAAGAAGAGTAAGGTTTCTTATCTCCTAACAGCTTGTTTTCGCGTAGAAGCTTCGTGTTTAGCACGAGGAAGATTCGTGCATTATAAAATATGTCTGTAAACAAAATGTCGAATTCAACTGGTCATTAAAATCTTGTGTATCCGGATAGAAAAAAATTCTGTTATGATTAGTCAAATGGATATACATATATCTACACATACATATACACTGCGCCAGTGCACGTACCTGAAACTAGTACAAAATTCCTACATAGCCATGAACTTAACAAGATTTGATTATTCCAAAAAATACCAATGTACTTCCTCTACCATAATTAACTTCCCCCTTTTATTCGATTCACAGTTTCACATCGTTTGTCTTACTCAGTGAAATATACGATTGTCATAGTACTTGGACAAAACTATCCCATTGTTTAGGTTTAGCGGAAAAGTCATACTAGCTACCACACATTAATCGTAATATGAAAAATGTGTTTTTCACACGATAATAAAAAATCATCGAGTCCATATCAAATAAAATTACACTCTTATTTCCATCAGACTGATTCGACCGTCCTTGTCTGCTCTTTGCTCTGTTGTATTTTCAATGTTAGTTAACGCGATGATGAACCTGCCACTATATACTCTGTATTGCAGGCCATTACGGGTTATCACGGACATGGGCAACCTTGTCGCTCCGAAATCATTTACTTATTACGTATACATAAAGTAAAAGATCGTTTGAATTATCCCTATTAGACAGCTAGTGCATCATAGGAAATACAGAAAGCACCATAACCTATCAAGTCTGACAAATAGAAATTTACACAAGTCGATCTACTAGATTTATGAAAACAATGCATTAACGTAAATACTTACAGCTACAATCACTTACCCGAATTCTTATCAACGGATAATTTATGGCTATCGTTAAATTAATGATCGTACAACACGTCCGGGTCCACATGACTCAGGTAAGAAGAAAATACAATTACTTACGCAAAACCAATTCAAACTTCATAGAAGGAATTCAATCTTATTACCCGATGAATCAACGTATTCGAACTGTCAGTCACTGTGTATAAATCACTCGGCAAATTAAGAATAATAAATCGTGCGAATGTCACAAAACGGCATTAATTCTCTAACATAGTTTCCATAGATCGTCAATATCGAGAAGTATCGATCCTTTATAGAGTTTCCTAGTAATTAGTTACCTACACCTAATAACTTCAGCCGAGTTTTGCAATTTATAAAATAATTCGCACCTTGCAGGATTTTCCCGGAATATTTTTTGCTTTATAAAACTCTCATATGTCTCATACTATAAAAGGATCGATTGTGCTTTAATTACTTCTAATATAGCGATAGGCAGGTTTATTGAACGATACTGTAGGTAGACGTCAGGCGGTGGGGTTGTATTTCTCTCCTCGTGAAACGTATTATGTATAAATATATCTATATATATATATATATATACATTGACACATAGTTCAACCAGTAAATATATAAAGATATCAGAGACCATTTGACACTTGACCTATGAAGCTGGCCTAAGTGTCCGCCGGCGTGTAATAGTCTGCTTGAATAAGAATCTGCAGTTGCGTGTCGATCTTTGTCCACTTAATCGACTGCTTATATAGAGTGCCAGATTCTAAGGCTGAATGGCCAAGTATATAGTTGACAATTATTTTTGTTCTAAAGGTACAAAAAATAATATATAATATTTAAAAAACGATCACGCGACTCATAATCTATGGTGGCAAGAGAAGAGACTTGGGAATTGATCGGACTTCGAAAATGGATTGACGCTTGTTTTCGTAAACAAGTCAACATCATTGGGCTCGTTCACGTACAATGTTTGTGAAGGCAGAAATCATAATACTTTATATGCGAAAATTTATAAAAATGAAAGTGCTTCCGTGTTAACACGGATATAGAGAATCGTTTTATTTTAAATTACGTTGGGTTGCATCTCATTAATTTTTCAAGAATTTAATACCGAACGCAAGTCACGGACTTGAATTCATGTCGGGATAGACATTTCTGTGGATACTATAAAAAGAAGTTAAGAAGACTCATTACCAAAAGCGATTTGGATGTTATACCTGTGAGTATAAAGTTTAGTATTTACGAAGTTTCTCTTCAAGTTAACGGCCCTGAAAGGGCAGAAGGCATTAAGTCAAATACGAATAACGATTCGTGTATTCTAACACGTAATTTTGATTCGCATGCCACGTGGAATTTCTCATGATTAATATGTACAGTGACGTTCAATTATTGTGGGCTAATAATGATTCTCTTATACTCGATACGAGTTAACATTTGATTTGTAAGGGACGGTAGACAGAGACTGGTGGTTAGAGACATTTTTGATGGCACTGTACTTTAACGGTCTTACGGAAGAAAAGTGGGGTTAGAAAGATTTCCACTTCTTTGCAATGATTAATCCTAACAAATGATTCGTATATTCGAAGACCCATAACTCATGAAAGTTTTGTTGCTTTTGTAACGATCCGTAACTTATACCGATGTGGACAAAGTTGTGTGGTAACTTGAAACAAAATGAGGGAGAAAAAATAAAGAAGCGGATTGTCTGTGTCTGGTTCGTTTATTTCAAAGAAGATTTAAGAAATAAGAAAATTTATATATTTTTTTTTTTGATAATCCGAAAGTAAAAATGTTGAACTTTTTTAAATTTATGTCTGTTTTATAACTTTTATTCCTATAACTGTGCACGCATCTCAAATAATACAAATACAGAAGGTGCCCGCAAGATGCCATCTGACGGTCTCGTGTCTTTGGTTTTGACGTCTTATAGATGCCTTATATAAAAAAAGAAGCAATATAAATTCGAATGTTGTATTTTATGTTGGGGTGCTCGAATTCTCGACCGTCGCGCATTAACTCGCCCTCTGTCAATAAATAAGGGTGGACTATCTGAGAATTTTCCTTTCGTTATTGACAGTGGTGCTAACAAGGTGATCCCCAACGGAGATACTGTATCCATGTCATTATTCAGTGTCCGGTATACTTACTGCTGATCTTACATGCGGCTTGTGTTATTGGTAGCGCTGCAATATTTCAAGATGTCCAACGCAAACCTACTTGATAGATTTAGATGGAAAGTCGAAATTGTTACAGATAAAATTAGTCAAATTTATTCGATAAGGATTTAGAATGGAAAGTCATGAAGTTACGTTAAAATAAAGTGTGATTACGATAACTCGTTTCAGATGCCGTTTATTTTACTGAAGTAACTCGTAGATTTTCGACCAATGAAAATTGCATTTATATCGATACATCCATTAGGGCTATGTATGAATATTTTCAATAGGAATTATATTTTTTATCTTTTTAACCGTAACGGATGCTATGTCAGTACATGGTAGATTGTATAATCAGAAAGTATCAGGAATATCAAAAGGGGATGTTTTGACGTTTTGAAAAAATGGTTTTGAAGAAAAATGAAAAAAACTTCATTTTTGAGCACGGCAAAAATTTATTACTGAAATTTGTCAAATAAGCGTGCCATTCTTTGGGGTAATGATAAACCGTAAGTAATAGAAACAGTAGGCGATGGTAAAAGCGTGATAAATTCAAGGCTACTGGATAACGAGGATCGTGATAAGGGACGATGGCGATTATCGAGATTGAAAATGAGAACAAAAACACTACGCCGATTGTCGCACGCGCTATGTATTATCACATTTTTTTTAATATATCGGGCTTTCCACACGTGCATCGGAATTCGAGATTTACGGGGATGATTTTGTATTTTGACGATTTTGAGGATTGTATGTATTTATTCTCTATAACTGTAGTCTGTCCGAACTTCATCCCCTCTGGATATTACATGTTTTCTACATAGCCTTTTAGGAGTAAAAAACTCAAAATGATTTCAGATTTTTTATAAAAACAAAAATCGTCAATAAAAGTTGTGTGTTAACGTTACTTAAAAATATCATTAATGCCCATTGACTCATTTTCCATATTTCAACCTTTTCGAAAATTTCATAATAAAATGTAAGTGTCAAAAAGTGAATAACAGTAATTTTCAAAAAGAAGTCTTTCGTTCGAAAGGGGAATAAATAATTTATAACGTGATATGAATACTCTTTAACAACAAAGCCACGTTAGACTTTACATTCTTTCTTGGACGAAGCAAATATTTTGTATAATTTTATAATGACTGACAAATATAAAAATATTTTCCAAGTCTATATGCCATGCTTCGGTAACTCTTTTATATAAGTTTGACTTATGAACCACCCAATAAAATTGATGACTGATCGAGTTACGTCGCGCGCAAGGTCAACTAATTTCAATCCCTCTGAACCAATTAGATGTTTTTTTACGATGAAGAAAAAACATGAAGCCAAGAGATATATAGAAGAGGAGCAAGAAGTAGAACGCTGTCAGGAAGTCACGTGCCACACTTTATCCATTAATAACCATCGAATTGACATAGAGCTTGAATCTTGGTTGTCAGATCTGTGCTTAATGCAAAAGCTTATAACTATCTAGTGGAAATAGACAGACGATAGGCAGACTTGAAATTAATAAAAATTTCGTATGTTTAAGGATTTTTAATGCACTCTTGAAATTTATTAGATTTATATACCACATATGTATTTACGTATACACGCATCCCCCCAGCATCCCATTCTTGTATGCCACTAAAGTATCGAAACAGATTATAATACCGTGTCTAGTAAGCGCACACGTCATTAATACATTAAATGACACAACAAGCGGATAGTATGGATTTCATTGAAGCTACAATAAAATAAAACTAAAATATATTCGCGTTTGAGTACAGGAGTACAAAAATGAGATCTGGGGTATTACCCCGCGTGACTAACGCTGTTTGAAAACATCAAGTGACCAGCACTGGGCTGATTATTCTCTCTTGCAGTGCCAGCCTGCATAATTAAAAATATTATTAATGCATCATGAATCCACTTGCGGCTAAATTCGTGACAGATGGAACATTATACCACGTTTTAATATTTCATAGATCTCTCTGCGCGTGAATTTAATATTGAAAGCTACACAGGAGTGATTATCTGGTGTTTACACAATAATAATTTATTTGATAATTTATATGAAAATAGTGAAAAAATTAATTATTAACGGCATACACTTGTTAATAGTTTGATCTCATATTTAATAAGGAATTTCATGAAATTATGTTAGGGAGAAAAAGAGGAAAATTTTTTTTCATAAAAAAAAAACTTTTTATTTATATTATTCATTCAGGAATTTAATTTACGAGTGTAAATTGTCAAATTTTCCGATTGTCAATTTAGGGATTATGCATTATTGTATATAAATGCAATACTTGTAACCCACGATTTTCTATGTTGACGTTCACCCTCTGCGCTGGCGCCGTTCATAACGCGGAATCCTAGCGCGAAAATATTTCAGTATCGTCCGACACCCCAATGCGTTCGGGTTCTATGTGAAAATTTGTCCAAAGTACGGAGTGTCATTAAAAGTCATAAATTATATAACAGAACCATGCATAAGATGAACTAAAAAATCTTTATTATAATTTATCAAATTTTACGTTTTATTTATCATTGCAAATTTAGTGGTTGAATAAAATTTGTATGCATGAAAAGTACAAGTGATATATATTTATATTTAACTACCATCAAGTAAACGATAGTCCTTCCCTCTGGACCACTCTCCGGGCTAATAGCAAAGAAAGTTATAACATTCAACAGTCGAAGAAATTCGATCAGTTTTCAACGTTCGCCGTAAGTAACTACTGACAAATAATTGGATTAATATTTAGTATAAATATTTTTACTAAATAATTTTTGATATTCGGCAACTAGAGATATAATATTTTAATTATCTTCTTAGAAGTAAACAAAGAAGATATTATCCTTTATTCCTATTATTCTTTGGGATTGATAACGCAATGAAGAAAAATGATAAATATAATTGTCAAGTCGATTGGTATGTTTTTCAAAACAAACATTTAACAATATGCCTGAAATATAAAATGCATTATACTGTGTAGTCAGCAATGTGATATATGAATAACATGGGAATTGATTTTAGCAGCGTTCACGTCCTTGCGAAAATCCATATATAATATCCATACAAAGATCTTCTGTATATCACTGTACAGTAACCCAGTGTATAATACTAGTATCCGATAATTAATCAAGGAACTGATGTTTACGTTACCTGAATATACGTAGTAAACAAATACAACGTGCTTATGACAATTTAATTACGTAGCTAATGCAAAATTCATTGACAACTCTGATATGATAGGTAATAAAAATAGGGTTTCCAAAACATAATGAAAACTGAAAGTAGACGCGTTTTTTTTAAGGTTCAAATATATCTTATAAACGTCACTGGATTAGCAATATAAACGCATCGTACCTTTCGCTGGCAGCCGATAGGGTGGACTTATGACTGAGCTTGAAAACCTATATTTTATTATATTGAAAAAATCATTAAATATCTCAAAAATTCTTATGCCGATTGTAATTAGTAATTATCATATATATTTCAAAAGAAATATTTCTCCTGATTGCTACATCGATTCATTGAAAACCTTAATTACTGTGTCAAGCTCAAATACCATTGAAAGAAAATATATTGATTAAGAACTCCTGCCGAGGTAATAGTGACGATAGAAATTGTAGCGAGAAAAAAATGGTATATAATGAAAAATTGATAATTAGCAAAACCGTGCCAGGTAGATAATTATAATAAATTCGACGAACGACGTACACTGAATTATTGTCTGCTGGTCTCAATTTTGTCTGTTAGACCAATAATGTCTAATGAATCATGAATCATACTAATTTTAATAATTAATCGATCTCACCTGTTTGACGATAATAATAACATTAAAAAATTGTATTCATAACTCGTCCAACTGACGGTAATAATATTTTTTTAATATCTTACTAAAAAAAATAGTCGAATCAAAAGAATTGGTATTATGACAAATTTGACTTATTTAGTAACTTTCTCTTCTCGTAATCCAATACCACAAATTTGTTACCCTATAGAAAATAGTGTTTAAGCTCCAGCTTGTTTGCAAAATTCCAAAAAGGTCCCCGGCTACGGATTCTTGTTTATCCACAAGGAGAACAATTATCGTTTCTCTCTTGTAATGTAGGCGGTACAACGATCTAGTTGTTTTCGATATCAACTAGACTGGCGTCTGTTTACCGTTCAAGTAGTGGATGCGCAGAAGTCTACGTGATGAAATTAACTGGGGTCTTAGATTTCACGTGTTACGCCATTGGTCTCAGTGTACCAGATATTAATTGCTAAATCTTGGCCACTCCGGTGTCCTGACGATAAAAGAATCAGAATGCCCGACGCGTACGAAAGTTTAACCATGAATGCTTTTTTGTTTAATACATTTTTCACGTCTAATGCCACGTGGACAACTCACGAAAAAGCCATCACGATTAATAAGTAACGCTGCGGGGAATGTTATATCCTATGATCCGATCAATTTGTCAAAGGCGGTCAATGTTTTTTTTATCCTATTGAGACGTCATTCATTACGTGTAATTTATCGATATCTCTTTCCTCTCGTGCTAGGCATATTTAATCGAGCATGACGTTACAATGGGTATTGTAACGTGTTACGAATCTTGTTTGTGAATTGTTATTGTGGAATTACAGTCTAGACATAGGAACTACGTACTGTTCTCTCGAAAATTTAATTTAATTTAATATTCTAATTGCAATTAATGAATCTGTGAAAAAAAAATATATAAATTATTTCTTATCGCTTGCAGGTTTCTTTTTAGTGGATGAAATGGCAAATTTAGAACACGCAACGCAGTATCCTTTAAGGACGAATGCCAACTACATAAATGACACTGAACTTCCGCTTGATATGCGATTCAATGAAGGACACGTTGTCAGCATTATCACTTACAGTGTACTTATGGTTATATCTGCCGTGGGCAATACAACCATTTTGGTCCTGATATTACGAAGGAGACGAGCGACAAGATCGAGAATTAATACAATGCTGATGCATCTGGCTATAGCGGATTTGTTGGTAAGTTCCTATTTGAAAATATAATTAATACGGATCCATTCAGAGTAACTGACTAATTAATTCACAATTAAAGTTCAAAATTACTCAAGAGTTTCACGTTGCATTGTTATGGCAAGGTAGGAAGGGAATGATAAGGAAAATTGTAATTTATAGGACATTTCTTTTTATTTTGAAATTTGTTATCTTTCCCGCGTATCTGTTTCCCTACGAGTAACGAGTACTTTATTAACAGGGTATACGTTATCGTTGCAGGTGACATATCTAATGATGCCTCTGGAAATTGGATGGGCTGTAACAGTTTCGTGGAAGGCTGGCGACGCTGCTTGTAGAATAATGGCATTCTTTCGTGTTTTTGGACTTTACCTCTCGTCCTTCGTATTAGTTTGCATAAGCATTGACAGGTAAGAAAATCGGTAAAGCATATCACTCGGAATGTCAGTATGGATTATTAATTCGATTTCAGAGTGACTAAACGTAATTAAAGGTACCCTGAGATTAGGGAAGGGTAACGAAATATTGTATTTAAACCTAAAGTTTACATCAATTTTGACAGTAACCTATATGCTTTTCATAAACGTATTCAAACAGTGGAAACTCAATTTCAAACAGTCCTCGGTGTTCGTTTAATCCACTTAACAGCGAATTCCCAATACTCCACAGAAATACCGTACAACTTTTGACAAGCAATTTTATTGATATACCAGACATATCCTTTCGGTCAGTTACTACATGTAGGCATATTATATTCCTCAGATATTTTGCTGTTTTACGACCGTTGCAACTGACGGATGTCGATAGAAGAGGCAAAGTAATGTTAACTTTAGCCTGGACAGGCTCAATATTTTGTTCGATGCCACAGGTGAGTAATGACAAATACATGAAATTTGTAAATATTTATTTTCATTTCGCGATCACGTCTGACGAAAGTGCTGAAATAAATTGGAGCTAGATTTTGCGATAATAAAGATTTTACTTGTATCAGGCATCGCTTATCGCCCATGATATATTATGCATTTGCTACCTGATACAATCTTCTTTCGTGAAGCCTCATTTTATCAATCGAATTCGCAACAGCCCTTTACCTAACAGTGCTGTAATAAAAGCTTCAACTAAATATGCGTATACTCGCATAAAAAATAACGGAGAAATAATTCGTAATCTATTTGTTTCTTCTACTTTATCTTCAGCTGGTAGTTTTTCACGTGGAAAGCCATCCAAAATTCACGTGGTACGAGCAGTGCATCACTTATAATTTTTTTCCAAGCGACGCTCACGAACTCACGTATTCTTTGTTCGGAATGGTTATGATGTATGGATTTCCTCTCACTGTGATAATATATACCTACTCCAGCATCCTCGTGGAGATATACAAAAGGTCCAGAGAATCGGTTTCCGGTAAGTGACCCAAGTATATTTGGAGCTACTGCGTAACGTCTACTTTGACACTCTTTTGTGTCACCAGGCGTCTATTCGATACAAAGAAACTATAGCGTATTTGGTCTGACAAGATACATACGCGTCCTGGATTAATCTAATTAAATAAATGCTCCTGGCAATGATTAAACAACCCATGAGATATAACGTAAATTTTTCTATTACAAATTACGTAAAATTATTAACCTTGTCTTTTCGAATATTGAGTTATCTTACATATATATATATATATATATATATATATATATATATATATACGTATCACAGAATATTTTTTTATTAATTCAGGACGTAATATTTGACTGATATCAAAATTTATATTAAATCGCTCGTGTGCAATGTTCCACAACGAAGATTCAGCACCGGAGCTGAATCTAATATAATTCCGATTGCAGGAAAATGTCTCTGCAAAAATTCGTTTATTTGTTATTTTCGTTAACATTTGTCTCGTACGGCAATAAGAGCTCCCCAATTCCCTTAATAACAGTACCAGCATTAATAATACCTGTGAATCAAATTCCAGACCGCATACGAAGATCCTCATTAGGATTCCTGGGACGTGCCAGGATTCGCACCCTAAAAATGACAATAATCATTGTCGTGGTTTTCTTCGTATGTTGGACCCCATATCACATAATGAGCCTGTGGTGAGTATACGATTATCAGATCATACAAAAGCCACTGTCGTCACATTGTCATACGATGCCATATATTGAAATACAAAAATATTAGTTTTAAATGTTTGAAATCCTTGTTTTCTTTTTAGGTATTGGATAGACCGTCCATCAGCTATCGAGGTTGATCAACGAATACAGAAAGGGTTGTTTTTATTTGCCTGTACAAACTCTTGCATGAACCCTATCGTCTACGGTGCATTTAACATTCGGAGTAAGAAAAAAGTGAGTATTTATATAAAGTTTATAATAATAAAAAGAAAAAAGCTTCCTTCCGACTGCTAAGTGATTTTGACCAAGTTCAACCAAATGGTAATGAGGATCGGTTCGGGCTTGAATGATTTTTAATTACAGTCCGATAATCATTCGATTATTTATTGATAATGTGTTTAGGGAGATTCGAAAGAATTTTTATAACGATATAAGAGGACAATTATAATTTTATTATAGGCACCTGTGCGGGCACCTACCATAGAGACACGAGTGACGCCATTATCCCTCTCAGTAAGACTTCTCGATTGACGATCAGAGAAATGAATGGAATTTAATATACTCAGTAATACCATCCACGTATAGGGACGCGAACAAGCAATCAAATCAGGGAATACTGATTAGCTTAGAATAATTAATTGATAACACGACATAACGTACCGATGTACACTAGAGACAGCTGGAAGGAATTTATTCACCATTTATATTTCATAATGATTACTATAAATGAGATTTTTTTTCGTTTGAAACACGTAGCTCCTTTAAGAGCAATTTTTTTATATTCTCAATCAAGATAGTTATAAGCAAGAGTAATGTGACATACACGTTTTATAACATTAGATGACATATGGAGAGATCATACGAAAGTAGGCTAACGTGATTCCGGACCTTGATCAAGCCGCAATAATCTAAAAACAATACACGATCAATAATCTTGATAATAAAAAAATTCGAGTTCGTAAATAATCATTGAAAACTCCAGTGAAATTATGTTTAAGCCCCATTTTTACTAAATATCCTAACAGTCGGTCGATCATTGGAATAATTTATTTCATAATTTTAATAATAAACGTTCCAACCAAAAATCGACCTAGATCCGACGCGTGACGTCATCATTAATATTCTCCGACGTGCCATCCGAATCGTATGAGTTATCGATCACTCGTCGGACAAAATCTTATTCAATGTACCATCCTCCTTGTAATCCCTATAGAATAGGGTATTTTCGTTAATTCCCC